AACTCTTTGAATTTATGATTAATAGTCAACAAACAACACTGAAGTTTATGTCATCTTAAATGTATTATGGTTTAAATTTTAATGGACCACAATGAATTTCAATAGTCAATGAAATGTATAAGCATATTTCTATGAATTCTTTTTTCTAGTGGAATTCTTTCTGAACTACATTTCCTTTGCCTAGTCTATATTCCTGTCTTTAATTTGTAAAACATTCCGAAGGCATTACTCATTTCTATGAGCTTACAAGATCATCCTCTGTGGAAAATTTCCATACCTTTTTTCCTATAAATATATTCCAAGCCATGTGTTAGAAAAGTAACATCTCTTGTAATGCATTATTTTTACAAATGCTTGTCATATTCTTTTTAAGAAAACCTACAGATATTGGATGCTGTTTTTTCAGATAGCCTCTGAAAGTATCATTTTCTGAGTGAAATATATTGAGCCAAGAATTACTTTTATTAAGTCAATTCAATGTTTGCAAGGTTTTAATATTACAATAGTGACCAAAATTGTGGAAACCTTTTGGGGAAAGTGTATTTTTGAGGTTTGATGGCTAATAACACCACTTTTTTGGGGGGGGGGAGTTTCAAGATAATCGTATTCCACTGCTGGAATGGCCTGGGAATAGCCCAGACCTTAACCCAATTGAAAATAAATGGAGCCAACTAAAGAAACTTGTTAGTCAGAAGCAACCCAGCAATAAAACCCAGCTAATAGAAGCAATTATTTAATCTTGGTTTCACATTATAACAGCTGCAGAATTAAAAGACTTGGTTCACTCCATGGGAAGATATTGTAAGGCCATAATTCATGCTAAAGGTTACCCAACTATTAACTGGCATGGTGATAATTTTTGTGTATCTCGTTTTTCACTTTTCTTCTTTATACTGTAACTGCTATTATAATAGAAAATCCTTCATAAAGGTTATTGCATTACATTCTTGATTAAATTACCTTTCCATTGATATATAATTTTATGGTACTACTCCAAAAAAAATGGTGTTATTAGCTAGTTTTAGAAAACACACTTTTCGCAAAAGGTTTCCACAATTTTGGCCACTACTGTATAAGAACCTTTAACCAGTCAAAGGTAAAAGATTTTCCAAACATGGGGAAAAGCAGCAAGAGAAGAAATATGGCTGCCATAAATACTGTATCTGCTTCAGTTACAGTCTAACGTAGTATTCAGGAGAAATATGCAAGATCATAGCAATTGTGCAAACTGTGGGAATTTTTTGCATAGAAATGTAAGCTCAATTCACATGTGTACAATCATTATGTCTTAGTGCTATGCACTTATCTGCTACTTTGAAGATGATTGTACGAAGTGAACTACTAGAATTCTTGCTTTCCTTTGGAAATGGAAATATTGTGAATTCTGCATAGAAGCTTATTGCTCCTGACTTATCTACATAATTTCACAAGATGTGGAATCATAATCAAGCACAATTTACAGAGAACAAAAAGACCATTTGCAAGCATATACCAGCACTGTTCTCAACATACAGGGCCACTGGAGCAGAGATAAGTGGTTTCAGATACATAGAGGGAAATCAGCATTATGATGTACAGTTTGCAGAATTTCTGGCCATATTTGAAATACAGTTAAAATACAGTTCAGTACCCTGATCGTTTTAGTACCCTAACCAATTTCAGCTGATTTCATGCAGAGAAATGGAAAATAGCAACAACTTAAAAGAAACAAGATTTTGTAATGTGATAAGATAAATGATTAATCTGTCAGCCCTTTACACTCTTTGCATAGATATAGAAAGACTCACTGTAAGAAAATTAACTTTGTTCATTTTAAATTAACACTAACTGCTCTTCTAAAATAGTACAGCATGACTGATAGAAGCAATTAACTTGGTTTGCTGGGCTTCAGACACTTCGACACTTGCTTTCAAAATTCTACTAGTTCATGAAGATGATGGGGCCAATCTATTTCAGCTTCCCCTTTCTCACATGACTGCTCTGAGCTATTTCAGCAACCCATGTATGCTACCCTGAGCGGTTTTGAGAAAGCAAGTGTTTGAAATGTGATAAATAAATCAGCTTTCACCAGTTCTAAATTTGGTTTCATTTTGGCTGATAATATTCTCTTATACTGCAAGTATCTGATGGAGAAAATATACTCTAATTATACTTGACCATTTGAATAGAGCTTAGTTTGGGATAAATGGCATCATTTTGGCATCATCATAGTTTGTTTCAGATGCTAAGAAATGTTCTCCCAGATCCTTTCCATCCCTTACATTCTAGGATTCAGTCGCTCTGTAAGAACTTGGAACAGTATCTTGGAGATATAAAGTCTACATTTCTAAGCCAAAGCATTTTCTTTGCTCATAATTGCTCATAAGAGGGCATACATAAACGCACCAGCATGCCTACCGTCCCTGTCCTACTATCCCCATTTATTTGTATTCATTTCCTTCATTCATGTCCATGTTCATACTTATACCTGCTATCTTGTAAATGTTTGACAAACAAACAAACAAATAAATAAATTGGGTGCTTCAAATAAAACTACAAGTCAAAAAATGGGTCAAAACTTGATTAAATGACATATAATTTCCCCCTTCATAGTTAACCCAGTCTTATGGGTTTCCTTAACACACTTGTGTTAAGGGCTTGTCTTTGCACAGCACACTACACTTAACTGTAGTTAGCCACTTTGTGATGCAATATGCTACAATGAATAAAGCCGTTTAGTAGCATGCATGAATATTGGGGACACTTGGCAGAAAAGCTTGGAAGAAACAAGTTTCTATTTGAACAGACTAGGTATCTGTCAGTGCAGCCCAACTGAGGGAAACTTGTTTTAGCAGTTGTAAATGATAGCTTATCTTCAAAACAAACCTATGAGGGAAGTTAGGCTCTTTGCATGCTCTGTCAGGAATTCTGGGAGTTGAAGTCCACAAGTCATAAAGGGCCATAGTTGTCTACCCCTGGCCTAAAGATACTCAGGGAAGTTCACATTCTTGAGGAGATTTAAAAGGATCGTCTCAATTCTACTCTAATATTGTAACTAGAATTATCCATCATTTTTTCCTAACAAAGTCATAGTACGATACATTTTAGCTGGTCAAGAAAAGATTTCTGAGGTTTTGTGGCATTTCTTTGACTTGCGCTTCACTTTTTGTATGTTTAATGTGGTAACACCTCAGTTTAATGGGCCATTCTTTGGGGGAAAGAATTCATTAAATCTGAATTTAAGATATAAATATCATTTGCATAATTACACAGTTGACGTGTTTATATCATTTGTATAATGGAAAACACATACAAAATCAAGTAATAATTATGATAGAAATGGCTTAAGTTATATCAAGGGTCTCGAAAAACTTTGTGGATGAGATCTGAAGGTGCATTTTGTCCATTAAATGGGAATCAATTAAATTAAGGTTTCATAATAATGTCAGGGAGATGAAGAAACCATTTCCAGCTTTTTTATTGCACTGTGGTACAATGTACACTACATCAACATTCCCCGCTAATGGCACATCAAAAGACCCTATGTACAGTATATATCAATGTATGCCTCTTTTAGAGAATATGCAAATGTGGCTGGGTTTTTTTATTTTTATATTTTTTTAATTGAACACAGAGGATTGACCTTAAATGATCAAGCGAATAGGAAAGGAAAAGTATTGCTTCTTTTCCTGCTGTGTTTAAAATGCTGACTCCAAATGGTCTTCTTTCCTTGAGCATTTATGGAATTTTTCCGCTCAGTGGCTAAGATGCTGAGCTTGTCGATTGAAAGGTCGGCAGTTCAGCGGTTCGACTCCCTAGTGCCACATAACGGGGTGAGCTCCCGTTACTTGTCCCAGCTTCTGCCAACCTAGCAGTTCGAAAGCACGTAAAGGTAAAGTAGAAAAATAGAAAAGTAGAAAAATAGGGACCACCTTTGGTGGGAAGGTAACAGCGTTCCATGCACCTTTGGCATTTAGTCATGCCAGCCACATGACCATGGAGATGTCTTTGGACAGCGCTGGCTCTTCAGCTTTGAAACAAAGATGAGCACCACCCCCTAGAGTCGGGAATGATTAACACAAATGTGCAAGGGGAACCTTTACCTTTACCTTTTTACCAATATAAATGCACTAATAGAATCTGGGAAGGAAGAAGGTCATGGGGACTAGAAACAAGATAGGGAAACATGCAGGATAGAACTTTTGAAATTCCTTCAATTGTTCACCAACTGGCCATAGGAGGAGTTGATTTTTTTTTATACTACAATGAAGTAACATATCTCTGCATGTATTTTAATCCTAAGAACTAATGAAGATGCATGCATGGGGTAGGTATATACATGTTACTTGGATCTCTGAGGATCTATTCAGGATGGTAACACCCATGAACAACAGCCTATCTTCTAAGGCAGAGGTGTCAAACTGGTGGCCCACGGGCCAGATGCGTCATGCGCAGGCCATGACCACCCCAGTTCTGCGAAGGGGAAAAACATCATAGTACATTAGGTGATGACGTGACGCTGCACGTTTGACACACGTGTTCTAAGGCATAATTCCCCATTGGTTAGCTTACCATAACACATTGAACCACAAACTAGCCAACCATATTTTAGCTGAACAGAGTCTGGAATTCTGACTCTATGTGGTCAATTTAGTTTATTACGTTAGGCAGACCCTGAAAATCCAATTAATTACAAACCAAGATTAAATTAATCGCAAGTAAAACTCTTGTCTGGACACAATCTCAGTATTTCCATAAGCTATACCATAGGAAAAGAAAAGAGGAGGGGGACCCAGGAGCCAGTTACAGACAAGAAGAGTCTGGTCCTCAAAGTGCAAAAAAAGCTTTTTGGTTAGTAACATTTTTCTCTGTGTACTGTGTGATAAGGTGCACCTGCTGAAATTCCTTCTACATTTTGTGCAGCTGCTGAAGCCCAATTGAGCGCTCTCTTCATTTTGGCATGTGGGATTGGAAGATTGCTTTCAAACTTGGGTGTGTATTTGCCGGCTGTCATTTACTCCTCTTTCTCCTCCTTCTTTCCTTCTATGTAATCAGAGTGTTCCTTTGGGGCCTTCTCTTATCATTTTCTTCGTCGTCTTGTTTTGCCCTCTAGGTAAGTGTGCCAAATCCTTGTTTGTTTGTTTGTTTGTGATAGTGAGAAAAGGAGGCTATGGGATGGTCTTTTTATTATACAGTATCATTTTCTATACTTTAAATACTTAGCAGATAAAAGCATGGGAGTCCATGTGAAAGATTATCAGCCTGGCTGAAATTTTCAACAAGAAAGCAAAGTTGATATTTTAGGAGAAAAGAGGTTTAAAGTAGAATGCAAAGAAGGTCATTTGCATGTAATAGGAAAACCATGAGGTTATTGACAAGGACATTTGAATCCTCATTATCATGATTAACTTAAAGTATGAGTAGTCTTGTGTTATATTTTCTGAAATGGTCTTTTTATTGCAACTGAAATGTTCTGAATTTGTTATAAATATTGTGTTTAGTAGGTGTTTTCCAACAGTTTTTGAAATAAACTATGATAGTTCAAAGAATTGATAGAAAACTGGGTTTTTCATGTTTGAGAGCAAGCAGTAACAAAGGCTGGAAGCTTGTGTATGACTCTCCCCTCAAACACATACACACACAGAGAGAGAGAGAGTAATGCCTTAGTCTTGGTAATGCTTCCCTTTTAATTGGTACCAGCTAACTAATGTAATCTACTGATTACCTGAAGAATAAGCTCAATTTCATCTCGGTGGAGTTGGCTTCTAAGTAGACACAACTTTTCAAATATTTGGTGTGTGTTTTGTAAATGTAAATAGTAAAGACAGTCTCCAGTGTGATCCCTAACATCCTTTCTTGGTTAGGCTGAAAATAGCTTGTGACTTTAGAGCAGGTGTTGTGTGTCTTTCTGAGAGATCTACTGAGTGGAAGGGAATGGAGAGCCAAGATCTAAAAATAGGCAAACTCTTAAACTGTCTTAGTGTGAAAAAGTCCTTGTGACAAGGAGAAGGACATTTTGTAAAACATATCTCTACTATAAAGAGGAAGAAAACATGTTAAGATGTTTTCTTAAGAAATATAAAAATGACATTAAGGCAACTTGCTGATGAGGTGCTCAGTAACTATTAACAGGAAGTACTGATAGAGTAACAATGTAATAGAAAAAAGTATCACTGAATTTAGAATAACCTTTTGAAAAAAGAAAAAAGTTCTTAAACAGGTGTTGCTTTAGTAGTAAACAAAATTCAGCTGTATCACCCTGAAAAGCACGCTAGGCACATGTGACTAACACTATAGTCCAAAAGCATATTTTATGATAGCATCATACAAAGATCTGTAAACAGATGCATGGCCTAAAGCTGAACATTTTATTTCTAGTATTATTTTCTTCCGGCTCCAAAAAGCATCTAAAATAGTTTAAAATCACTAACTGGCTTTGCTGCCAACAAATAGACCACAGATTCAACATCATTCTTCCTATTATATCCCCTGTTTGTATATTTACTATAGATAATATTATTGCATGGTGAACAGGCACCCGTATGCACGCACACACACACGTGTGTATGTAAAGAATGTTCATAAACTTTGTGTTCATATTCATGATAAGACCCTGTTTAATTGGCATCATTATATGCAATCCATACGGTGTTACCTCAAGATCTTCAGTATATGTAACCTGCCTTTTCTTAATAATGGTCAAACCAGGGGATGAGTTGGATTCATACATTATGCTAAGCCATGATGTGATTTGTTTAGTAAAGTAACCATTTGATACAGCAAACCATATGTCATATCAGAATATATGAAAAAAGAGTTCTTTTGCATGTCCTCACTACTGTGGCTTGCCAAAAATGATTGTGATTGGCTTCTGTTTTATCAAACATGAAATCACAAGGAAAACTAGGCAATGTTTTCTACCATCTTCCTAACAAAAACTCACATCTGGCTTCTCATATGCAAAGAAAGATTTCCAACTTTAATGAATTTTACAGTCATACTTCCTTTGATGTGCATTATCCAAAACCAGAACTCTGAAATTGATAATACAAGATCACAAAAGGTGTATCATTGCAGTTCTTTGAAAAGCAATTGGATGTTTGTTCAATACCAAACCAAGTATGTGAAGAAACTTACTTCCTAATTTTAGCCATTGTACTTCATGCTGTTCAGCTATCTTAAACTGGAGACTTCAGTGTACTGTAAATACAATCTTTGATATACCGGTAGTTCCAATGCTCCATCAAGGTTTCAAATCCACAATATAATTGTGAGTGGGTATATATTAAATATATACAGACCCACAAACATACATACCCATATTTCTGTACAGCAAATTGCTCCCCTGTTCAGTGAGATTTCTGTCTTACTCAGCCATTTTATAGTTAATACAGTGTTACTCTGGATGAGAGACAACTCTATCAATGCCTTTTTCCTAATACTCCATGCAATAGAATTCTGAAAAAGATTTCAAACCAGGGTAATTATTGCCAAGTAATTTTTTTATACTAAGCTGTAATATTTCTATATGAAAATGATAGACGGGATAATATGACAAGTATTCATATAGTGTCCATCTTCATTTTACAACTCACACAATGGGAAATGATAGCTAATTGGCCAAATCTAGTTTAGTCACTCATACTCAGTGCAGTGTCAAGAGAAAAGGGCATAAGCATGCAATCAAACCCCTTCTCTCATCTTATCTTTCTGCTTTAATGCTGCTTCTCTGAACTATCTGAAATCACAAGCATTCAGAGTTTCTACTGATTTGAATTTCCTTTTTCACTGAACATAACCTAGCAAACTACTACTGTGGTACACATGCAGAAAAGCATTTGTTTCCCTGGAATACACAGATTTTGTAACAATTTCCCGAGGGGGGTCATTGATTTAGTTTGAGAAAGCATGCAAACAGCAAAATTACCATCAGTTTCTATTTTCCTAGGCAGAGTGAAACTCTGCTGCAACTGGCTTCATCCCAAAAAATGTGTCAGATTCATTCTTTATTTAAGACAGTGCAACACACAATCCTTTGGACCAAAATAACATTTAAAAGTCTTTATAGAATTCATTAATACAATATACACATGTCCATAATTCACATATATCAGGGTATCCAAATTCACTTTTGTTATGAAATGGGTTTGAACTGTTTTAATTCTCTGACTATTGAAACCCAAAAGCTGACAGATCACCACCTAGTGAGAAATTGCTACTTGATGGGATGAGAAGAAACGTGGTTTACTGCAGATGCTAGACTATTATGCAATTGCCATAAACCATATAACAGATTAACAGAGTTGGAAGGGACCTTGTAGGTCATCTAATTCAACACCCCCCACCATCCAAGCAGGAGACCTGACACCATTTCTGACAGATGGCAGTCCAGTCTCTTCTTGAAAGCTTCCAGTGGATGAAGCTCCCACAACTTCTGAAGGCAAGCTGTTCCATTGGTTGATTGCTCGCACTGTCAGAAAGTTTCTATATTTTCAGGTTGAATATCTCCTTGTTCAGTTTCCATCCATTATTCCTTGTATGGCCTTCAGGTACTTTGGAAAATAACTTGACCCCCTCCTCTTTGTGACAGCCCCTCAAATATTGGAACACTGCTATCATGTCTCGCCTGGTCCTTCTCTTCAATAGACTAGCCATGTTCAGTTCCTGCAACTGTTCATCGTATGTTTTAGCCTCCAGTCCCATAATCATCTTGGTTGATCTTCTCTGCATTCTTTCTAGAGTCTCAAATCTATTTTTTTATAGTGTGGTGACCAAAACTGGATACAGTATTCTAGGTGTGGTCTTACAAAGGCTTTATAGAGTGGTATTCGTACCTCACTTGTTGACATGGACAAACAATGTCACAAGCATAGGTATCAGAAGAATTAATCTTCTGGGTTCTCCCTTTTATAGAGTTCTGAAGGAAAACAAGGAAGTTATTTTGTACATTCTGGAGGGGGGGGAATCCCAAATCAGAGGCTTAAATAGCAGGCCCTGTCATTCCAGAAACATACATGTTACAGAGAGGACACCTTTCCAATGGTGTACTTCAGTGCAAGGCATTTTTCTTGTGAGTCAGCAATAAGAAGCATACATACAAAAAACCACCTTACACATTGAAAAAAAAAGTATTTTAAAATCAATAACAAAAAAGGAAAAAGATGGAACTGTTGTGAGAGAAGAATGGCCATGCTGGTGTTCTTTTAAAGCTATGTGATTGGTACAGAGTAGTCTATTTCTGATTACATTCAACAACAGGAAATAATAATTTAAGCAGTTGTATGGAAGAGTATTTTGTGCTTTCGTTAAAGACATCAGAGCTGAATTCCATTGGGCATACCCAGCCAAGGTGCTAGGGCCATAGTCTGGTAGTGTAATCTGGTATGAATTGGAGTTAATGACTCTTGAAGAAATAAGCAGGGTTCTTTATGTTGTTAGCTTGGCCACATGTTTGTTGCTTGACTTGTTGAAGGTGGCTAGGCGGCAGGGGTGAAATCTAAATTTTTTTCCTACGGGTTCTGTGGGCGTGGCTTAATTAGTGGGCGGGGCTTGGTGGTAAGGTGACTGGATGGACGTGGCCAAGTCAATGTCACTTCTTTGCCCTTTTTTAACCTACAAAACACAACACAACAGGCTCACCCACAATGTAAAAGCAGCTGTGCTAGATCCAAAATGGCCCCTGCAACAAGCAGGAACCTCACACAGCCACAAAAAGCCCAAAAAACCAACTTTCACACTTTACACACACAAAATTTCACATACAGCTTTGTGAGATTTTGTGTGTTTGTGTAGTTAGAGTGAAACACTACAGAAACACACTAAATCTCAGAAAGCTGCACAAATATTATTTTTTATTATTATTTTTATTTTTATATAAAAGCAGCTAAATTTAAAACTTCCTAAACTTTAAATGGCTAGGTCTAAAAAAAGAACAACTAAAAAAAACCCCAATTAACTATTTTTTTTTAAAGCTCCCAAAGGGGAAAAAAATTTACCCAATAGAACAGGGGTCTCCAACCTTGGCAACTTTAAGAGTTGTGGACTTCAACTCCCAGAATTCCTCAGCCAGCTTTGCTGGGAGTTGAAGTCCACAAGTCTTAAAGTTGCCAAGGTTGGAGACCCCTGCAAGGCAGGCAGGAAGGCAAATAGAGCTGCTCACCGATGAGCTTGATTGCAGGCAGGGAGATTCAATTGCTTGCTGATGCAATGAATTGCAGGTATTACAGCAAGCGAAGCAAGGCAGGCGTTGCAACCAGCAGCTAAGGTAAGCAAGCTGGAGGCGGGGGGGCAGGGGGGGAGAGGGATTTTTGCTAGTTAGCAGGCAATTCAGCTGGGATCTTCAGATCTTGGCTCGTCAGAGCCATTTAAAGAGGAAAAAAGGTTCTGATGATCGCGCGGCTCAGCTGGGCATAGAAGGCGGGGGCAGGGATTTTTGCTACCGGTTCTCCGAACTGCCTGCCGCCATCGCTACCTACTCGCCCGAGCCAGTCTGAACCGGGAGCATTTCACCCCTGCTAGGCAGTCATCTATCATGGGATTCAAATGGTGGCCTCTTTGAGAGAGGGATGGTACTGAAGGCCTTGAAAGAGGCCATGGTATACCCCATCCTCAAGAGGTCCAATTATTTAGATGAATTTCATCCTGTCTCCAACCTTTCCTTTTTTTGGGAAGATTGTTGGAGTTTTTCCAGGTGAGGCTGGAATTTCAGAGGTTCCTGGAGGAAGCAGATTATCTGGATTAAATTCAGTCAGGGTTCAGGATGTTTTATATGATAATTTATGGCGGAGCCAAGATGGGGATGATGTATTAGCAGCTTTCAATACCCCTGACCATGGTATCATTCTGGTCCAAGTGTGGGGGTAATTTTCTTCCTGCTGTGGTCATGTGGCCAGCATGGCTATACGCCAAAGATGCACAGAATGTTGTTAACTGCCCACCAAAGTGATAGCAATAGCACTTAGATTTATATATCGCTCCATAGTGCTTTATAGCCTCCTCTAAGTGATTTACAGAATCAAGCATATTGTCCCCAAAAATCTGGGTCTTCATTTTACCCACCTTGGAAGGATGGAAGGCTAAGTCAACCTTGAGCTGGTCAGATTCGAACTGCTGGTAGTTGGCAGAATTAGCCTCCAATACTGCATTCTACCTATTGGCAACTGGCATGTATTTAAGATGGTTGCAGTGTCCTGAGATCATGTGATCACCTTTTGCGACCTTCTGACAAAGGTACCTATTAATCTACTCACATGTGTGAATGCTTTCAAACTGCTAGGTGGACAAGAGCTGAGGGAAGGAACAGGAATTCACCCTGTTGTGCTCCCGTTTCAATTGTGTTCACACAATGTTTGTGCTGGGTAGGAATTCAAGTGCAGCCCATGTGCAAGCTACCTAGTTAGACAAAGCTGTGATAAGATTATATCTATTGGGTTCTTGGGAGAGAAACATTTCCTCTTTTCATTGTGATGTTATATTTACTGAGATTGTACAGTTGCTATTACCTTAGAACAGGGGTGAAATCCAGCAGGTTCTGACAGGTTCTGACAGCGGAAATTTTGAGTAGTTCAGAGAACCGGCAAATACCATCTCTGGCTGGTCCCAGAGTGAGGTGGGAATGAGGATTTTGCAATATCCTTCCCCCAGGAGTGGGGAGGGAATGGAGATTTTGCAGTATCCTTCCCCTACCATGCCCACCAAGCTACACCCATCAAGCCACACCACACCATGCCCACCAAGCCACGCCCACAGAACCAGTAGTAAAAAAAATTGGATTTCACCACTGCCTTAGAAGTGTAGAAAATACTGGAAATACTGAAATAAACCTGTCTATAAATAAGTTTTCTATTACCACTTGTGAAAAGAAAACTAAAACTGTCTACTTCTTGGATCAGTTGTTTTGCCTCTTGCAATCTTCCAGGTGTTTGTCTAAAACTGAGCTCTCTTTGCTGTCAGGTATCCAGCATGGATGATGACCAAAGCACCAGTGGCCAGTCTGAACAGCAACAATCGCCTTCTACAAACAACCCTGAAGATCTGCCTTCTCAGAATGGCTTCGGGAGAGCAAGTGAGGCACTACTCCCTCAGTCCCCTGAGAACACAGCCCAGGCTCAGCCTGAAATAAAGCTCTGTGATCTATCTGAGGAGCTGAGTCAACAGCTGGAAGACATCATTAAAACCTACGGGTCAGCTGCCTGTCTGGTGGAGGAAGGGAATACGAAAGCAACAGACGGAGCTGAGAAAGGCGAATCGTTCAGTCCCGAAGATGGGGACTATGAGGATGGCCATGATGAGGCTGAGAAAGAACAGGTCCCTTTGGGGGATGCCTCTGGATTAAAGGAGGCCAGTATTCCGAAAGAACAAAAACTGGAAAAGAAAATCCTGAAAGGATTAGGCAAGTAGTTGTTTGTGAAACTGAAATGCGGAATTTAAATGTGAGTCATTGCTTGTATCAGGAAAAACATGACAAGGGTCTCTGCAAAAGGTCAGCATTTGACATTGATCCCATGTGTTCTCTTCTCCACCTTTTCCACATTTCCAACATTTTTTACTTGAAATATTCTTGCACAATTTTGATAGCTTCACAGTTGTCAAATGAAATGTTTGGAAAATTAGAAAAAAAAAATTAGAATTTCAGGCAACAACAATAATGAGAGTGAGTAGTAATTGATCAATAATGGACACTTTTATGTTGGGCTCCAGATGTGCCAGTGTGTTCATTTTTATTTATCCTGCATTTCTTAGGTCAAGATATAATGCAGATGGGAATCTCCCCTCATTTTATTCCCACAGCACTACCCTTTGAATCAGGTGAAGATCAAAGAGTGAGGACTAAAATCACCCAATTAGTTCATTGATGGAATAAGAATTTGCATCTAGGTCTTCTCAGCTCAATATCCCATTCCATCACACTGGCCTTCTCAGTCTTTTGATGTGTTAAATAATGCAACCTTCTCCTATGTAATGTCTCCATTGGGAAACAAAGGATATAGTTATTTTATTTTTACTGTTAAATGCATTCCCTGCCTTTCTGCTTATATACCAACTAGAAGGGCTTACAATAATGTAAGCAAAATGCAACAGTAAAATCTACTCACAGATAAGCTGAGAATTTTAGGCATCAAAATACACCCCCAAAATTGGGTTCAATTTATCCATGAGTATGTACAATATTTTTTTAAAAACCAATTAAAAGCTTGACTGGTGAGATCATTTTCCCATTGTCCTAAATGCTTAAAAAGTGGAGAGCCAAAAACACCTCCTTACAAAGAGCTTTCCGAATCCTGAAAGTTATACAGGTAATCCTCGACTTACGACCACAATTGAGCCGCAAATTCCTCTTGCTAAATGAGACAGTTGCCCCATTTTATGGCCTTCCTTGCCACAGTTGTTAAGTGAATCACTGCAGTTGTCAAGTTAGTGACACAATTTTTAAGTGAATCCGGCTTCTCCATTGACTTTGCTTGGCAGGAGGTTGCAAAAGGGGATCCCATGATCTCAGGACACTGCAACCATCATAAATGTCTGTCAGTTGCCAAGCATCTGAATTTTGATCATCTGAATTTGATGTATTGACCGTAGATATGCTGCAACTGTCTTAAATGCAGGGGTGAAATGCTCCCGGTTCAGACCAGATCGCCCGATCTGGTAGCGATAGCGGTGGGTGGTTCGGAGAACCAGTAGCAAAAATCCCTGCACTCCCCCCCTCCCATGCCCAGCTGAGCCACACGATCATCAGAGCCTTTTTTTTACTTTTAAAAGCATTTTTTTCTACAACCTCTTTGGCCAAAAAAATGCTTTTAAAAGTAAAAAAAAAAAGCTTCTGATGATCGCGCGGCTCAGCTGGGATTGTCAGAGCCTTTTAAAAGCATTGTTTTAACAACCTCTTCAGCCGAAGAGGTTGTAGAAAAAATGCTTTTAAAAGTAAAAAAAAAAAAAAAGTAAAAAAAAGTTGGCCATGCCCACCCAGTCACATTACCCCACACACACACACACACACACCAAGCCACACCCGCAGAACCGGTAGTAACAAATTTTACATTTCACCACTGCTTAAATGTGAAAAAAGGTAATGTCACTTTTTAAAGTTCCATTGTAACTTCAAATGGTCACTAAATGAACTGTTGTAAATCAAGGACTATCTGTACAGAAGAAGAATATCTTAAATGGCCAACTTCTGGCAGTGACTGGCATCTTCAGCAAAACCATAAAGTATCTTCCTTTAGAGATTCTGGCCCTAAATCATTGGGGCTTTTAAAGATAAAAAAAAACCCTGCACCATAAATTATACTGATTGGCAGCTAATTAATAGTAGATATTTCAGGGCAGGCTTTATATAATCTTTTCTAATGCCATGCCTGTGTTAGAGGTTTGCACCAATTCCCATTTTTTAAATGTTTTATTTATTAATAGACCTTATAGGCTACTCTAATCCACCACCACCCCAAATATATAATTGGAATTTTTAAAAAAACAGTTTTAAGAAACTATGAAACTGGGAATCAGAAAAACACTAACAGTAAAAACAAAAACAAAAAAACCCAATCTTAACAAGAGGCAGTCAGACAACCCAACCCTCCTCAATGGGATAAACCAGCCAGGTTTACAGATGTTTCATTAGATAATGTGAGTGCATTGCACTGATGAAGTTGCCTAGTTGGATAATGAAAAGTCTACAAGCAAACAACCAAGTTCAGAGAACACCAAGAATTCCACACTTCAATGCTGACCTATATATAATTCTCTTCTGTTGGAACATGGATAATTGTCATCAAGTCGAACCAACTCAAAGGGGTTTTTAATTTGTGTATCAGCCATAATTGTGCAAACACAACCCTTACCACAGCTGCTGCTTGCAAATCCAGTGACAGCTGAGAGTCAAAAAACACTCCCAAATGTCAAAGCCGTTCTCCTTCAAAAACCCATTATCAAGATTAGACAATATTCAAGAGTTATACACACATAAACTAAACATTAATCATATACAGAAACATATATAGAAACATAAATTTACAACATAAATTGAAAACTAAACCCCTCTCTTTACAAAAAAAAAACACTTCCACCGTTCACTTTCCTCATGGACCCATTAACCATTTCTTTTTGTTTTGTGCTGTTGTAATCACTATTTAAATTTCAGATTATCTCCCCTTATTTCATCTATTTTTCTCTACTTTTGTAATATAGTCCATAAACAGACCGTAAACAGTCTTAAAGAGCCTCTGTAGATTTCTTTCATTAGACATGCCAGTTCTGCCACATCCACCAAGTTCCTAACTTCACATATCCAATCTTCCAGATGTGGATGTTCTTTATTTTTCCATTTCTGCCTATATAATAATCTTGCTGCTGATTATTATATACAATAATAAGACACCGTGCATTTTACTCAGTCCTTCTTCCATAAACCCTAATAAGTACAGTTCTGGTTTCATCTGACAAGAGATTCCTATTATGAATGAAGGCAAATATACCGTATTTTTCGGAGTATAAGACGCACCGGAGTATAAATCAGGTATTCATCTGGCTAGCATTCTTAGTCTGGTCAGCTTCAGCACATTAGTTTGTGCTAATCAGCACAACTGATCTTTGGAGAGAGAAGCAATGAGAAAAGCAGGCAAATCACGGAGATCACTTCACTCACTAGCGCCTCGTTAGGGCTGGAAAAAAACTTCACAGCTGAGAGTTGGAGGGAGCAGGCAAAGTGCTTAACTGCTAGCGCCTCATTAGGGATGGAAAAAAGCTTCACTCCGAGAGTCGGAGGGAGCAGGCAAAGCAGGAAGATCACTTCACTGAAAAAAAGCTTAGCACAGAGATCACTTCACTTGCTAGCACCTCGTTAGGGCTGAAAAAAAGCTTCAAAAAATCTACATTCAGAGTATAAGATGCACCCAAATTTTCAGCCTCTTTTAGGAGGGAAAAAAGTGTGTCTTATACTTCGAAAAATACAGTATGTGTCCCAGGATAATGTTGCAGGATCCAATCTGAGTCTTGGAGACAGTGGATCCCTGAAGATGGGCTCCAGCACAACTCTTGAAAGCTTAGAAAACTAAACCTCTGGTCCCAGTTACCGACTTACATTGGATTCCTATTATTTTCACCAATGACTTGTGGATCGCTGGCCCAAAATATTTTGGCCACTTTACAAGTCTGTCACATATGATATTATGTTTCATCGCCTTTTCCACATTTCCAACATTTTTTACTTGAAACATTCTTGCACATTTTTGATAGCTTCACAGTTGTCAAATACCATCTATACATCAATTTGTAAAAAGCTTTCTCTTAAATTATTGCACAAAGTGAATTTAATTTTGATGGAATTCTATTTCAAAAAGACCAAGGACTTTCCCCAACTCTTTCATGTAGATGTTAATCCGCATAGGGAACAAAATAGAATTATATAGAACATGATTTGTTAGTGATAAGGATATTGAATAGTAGTCCCTGCATTATCTTGTGGCCAAGCCCTAATCCTAAAAGCCAGAATCGCTGCAACAGGATTGAAAAATAGGGCCCAATTCTAAGGGACATCCTGAAAATATAATATTAACATCTAGGTTTCTATATTCTTTTAGCTTGCAGAATTATTATTTTAATTTGTGGGTAAAAAGTTGGTATAAAATTTTTGCAGCAATAGAAAATGAAATACATCATCAGTAGGTGTTCTATGCATCACCTTCCTGATCTTTTAAAATACAGAAGCAATAAAACCAAATTAGTCACAGTTTTCTGGTTAAAATATATTCATACAATCTTAATTTTGTCTCATGCATTCTCACTTTGATCATGGCTTCTTATCCTATTTTCTTGATTCAGGAAAAGAGGCTACCCTGCTGATACAACATCTGACGAAGCTGAATACATCAGAAGAGAAATTGGAATTCTTATTTAAGAAGTATGCCGAACTGGTTAGTATGAAGATCCATGGTAGAGGGGGAAAAACTATTTCAAAACATGCCTTATGTGGTACAAAATGACCAGATTGCAATCTTGAAGCAGATATAGTATCTTTTTAAGATCCCTGATAAAGCATTGAAAATGCCATCTTAAATTTGGGGAAGGGAAGATTCACCCACTCATTTGCCTTTCTTAGTTATACTGTATAAGATATACAAGTATTGGTCATGCTTTTGACAGGACAAGTAGAGGTACAGGTGAGGCCACAATAGGAGATTTAGCTATATTTCATCTGTTTCTTCCATTGGAGACCCTTAAGGAACTCAATGCTGGCTTAATTCTTGACATTATATATGTATAATAAAGCATCTAAACTAGTATAATAAACTGGGACCTTTTTTCCCAGACACTTAATCATAGCACAAACGTGGCTTGGCAAATTCTATCCTAGTCTCATTATTGTCTTTATCTGAATCCCAGTCCGTAACTTAGGAACCATAAATTGTCCTCATGGAAGTCAGGATTTAGACTTGGCATGGGACAGAAATAGCAGCAGTAACTCTTATAAATAGCTAAGATGAAGGAACTCCAATCATCCTTCTCCTGCTGGATTGCTCAACAGCCTTTGATCACAATATTCTGGGTCAGCTGCAGTGGTGGGTTGCTCCCGGTTCGGACCGGTTCGCAAGAACCGGTAGTAAAACCGGCAGGAGGCTCTGCCCACTGACCCGGATATCATCAGGAAGCTTCTGCGCATGTGCGCGTGGCCCCATTGCAAATCGGTAGTAAAGGTAAGTAGAACCCACCCCTGGTCAGCTGGAAGCATAAGTTTTGGAGGACACCATACTGGAATGGTTCCTCTTTTTCATAAGGATATGATTCCAGCTAGTGACCTTGGGGGAAGGAAGATCAGACATTGAACATTCCAATATGGAGTTCCTGAGTCTTGACTCCCTCCTTCATTCTTTTAATATATCTGAATCTATTCTGTTAAATCACGCACTGCTTCAGATATTCACCAATATTTACATTAATAAATACATATCTGCACCTGAGACAAATGGGGGTCCACTCCCAATGTGTTTGAACTCTGTCAGTATAAACAATAAGGGAAATGACCTTGACAGAAATATTCAAAAACTATTACTTAGGCCACGAGAGATGAAACATTATTTAACCTTGGAGGCAAGATTATATTTGGAAGTAATTTGAGGCAAATAGCTCCATGATTCACTGGGGTATAAGAAGAACAAGCAGGCTTCAAGATTCTGTTATCGTAACTTATCTCAATAAACTGTAATTGTGGTTTTACTGTGGAGTCAATTTCCAGATCTACTGGTACCTACCTAGTGGGCCGATTATCCAAGCCTGGAAGAGGAAAAAACAGGCTCAGATTCGACCCAAGAAAGACAAAATGGTTGTTAAATTAGAAGCCAAAAGATTGTATTAACTTTAATTGTAGACTAGGTTGTCTTTTTCTTAAAAGAACGGATCCACAATCTAGAGAGCTATCTGGAGTCATAGTTCCTACTGGAAGAGACCATGATCAAAAAGATCTTTTCCCAGTTTTGTTTACTGAACTGGTTGTGGCCATTCTTGGGGGGGGGGCACTGAATACAATCACTCATATTGTTGCCTCTCACCTGGATGACCTTAATTCATATTACATGGGGCTGCCCTTGATGACTATCCAGAATCTTCGGCTGCTACAGAATGTACCTGCCTGTGTGATAAGAGGGCAGACCCATTAGTCCCATGTTGATCTGACAGCTCCCTGGCAGTTTGCTTTTGAGTATACTTCTAGGGTTAATCATCTGTTATCACCCATTTTAAGTAGAGTCTAGTCATCTGATGCATGCAAGTGAAGAGTACCTTCCAAAATCCATGGAGTTCCATCTATGGAGACTTCTAAAAAAGGAGATTTGGAAGCAGGCCATTCATTCAGCAATTCCCTTCTATGGAAAGTTTGCCCTTAAAGGAAAAAGAGGTGCCTTCCCTTGTGATCATCTGGAAGATCTTGTTGAGACCTATATATTTCAGAATGTTTTTAGACTACAATACTACCACCATGGCATATTCATTCATTGTGCTGTGTCAGATGCAGGGAAACAAAAATTTAGATCCAAATTTTGTTGCCCTACATATGACACAGCACCATGAATATGCTATGGTAGAATTACTGCAGTGTGATGCAGTCATTCTTTTTTTTATTATTATATGGTTCTTGTTACGAAGAATTTCTGGTTTGTAGACAGTTAATTAGTCAGCTTGATAAAAGAGGTATTGTAGGAGGAGAATCGTGACAGTCTATGATGGAAAACAAACCAATAATCTGTAGCACCTTTCCCAACTAACAATCTTATTAAGTGCTTTTGACATTTTTATTTCATTTATTTATTTATTTATTCAATTTCTATAGCCCCCCCACCAATCTCAATTTGATTAACTGGGTGGCAAGCAATACCATAATAATGAAAATCATAAAAACATTAAAACAGTTGTATTTTTATTATAAATTCCTTGTTATATATAATCTATATAGAATCCAAGTGTGATTAAAAACACACATTCCTTTGATCACACTTGGCCAATAAAAAATTCTGTTCTGTTCTATATGTATTAGAGTTGTTAGTTGGATTTTATTATATGCCTTGTAATAAAATGTGCTAGATGGAAGATTACCAGATTTCTGAATAAAAGAGATGTAAAAGTCTTCATAAATAAATGAATTCTCTGCCATCCATCTAGCCTCCCATCACTCAGGCAGCAGTTTTGAATACCCCCTCTTACAGGCACCAAACTGAATTGCACATCACTTAATTTTACTTTGAATGGAATATATGGAAATAATAATTTGGAAATGGAATGATTAATTGAAGCACAGATAACATTTGGTGCAGAATCAGGAATAAAATAGGAGACATTAATTGGGATGATCCTTATCCAACCCTTGATTTCTCGTTTAATTTTGGTGTGAATGAAACCAAGCCAAACATTTTAGGTTGTTGTTGTTTTTTTTCCATTCGCCACCTGTCCACTGCCATTGCAAATTAGAAAATCTATTTTTTTAGATTATTTGGAAGAAAATTAGCTTTTTTCCTTCTATGAAATTCAAATAAATTCCAGTTATGATTCCAAATATTCATATTACTTGCGAGGGTGTGTGTGTCATGTCTATTAAATGCCTAAGAACAGCCTTGTCCCAAGATCTCTTGTTCTGCTTATTTATTCTTGTCCACATACTTTCAGTTGGAAGAACATCGTTCTGAAGTAAAAAAGCTGAAGTATCTGCAGAAAAAACAGGTTCAGCTCCTGAAGGAGAAAGACCAATTACAGAGTGAACACAGCAGAGCCATTCTAGCCCGGAGCAAATTGGAGAGTCTTTGTAGGGAACTCCAAAGACACAACAAAACCTTGAAGGTAATGAGAAGAGAAGATCTTTAGGAGAGGTCAGAAGGAAAAGTTAAGTTCACTTGGTATCCTTAGTTGGTTCACCAAAGATTGGTAAAGATATTTCACTCTTAAATGTTGGACATTAGTAGCTCAAAATGGTTTCCTGCTTCTGTCTAAACTGCACTCTGGAAAGAATTGAAACCTGCTCTTGTATTGTGCCTAATTTAATTTTGTCTCCTGGATTCCCGCTTTTATCTAAAACAACTAAAGTCTGATTTACAGAGATATAACCCAGATATATTCCATTGATATCTCCAGTGGAAATGCATGGAAACTGGTGCTGTTATAATGCTTTTCTTCAGTTTTATGTGCATCAACAAGATGTGCAGTATATGAGTGGACACGTTTAGGTGAGCTCAGGACAGCTTGGAATATTGCATTCAGTTTTGGTCGCCACGCTGTAAAAAAGATGTTGAGACTCTAGAAAGAGTGCAGAGAAGAGCAACAAAGATGATTAGGGGACTGGAGGGTAAAACATATGTAGAACGGTTGCAGGAATTGGATATGTCTAGTTTAATGAAAAGAAGGACTAGGGGACATGGGGATGATAGCAGTCTTCCGATATCTCAGGGCCTGCCACAAACAAGAGGGGGTCAAGCTATTCTCCAAAGCACCTAAGGGTAGGACAAGAAGCAATGGGTGGAAACTAATCAAGGAGAGAAGCAACTTAGTACTAAGGAGAAATTTCCTGACAGTTAGAACAATTAATCAATGGAACAACTTGTCTCCAGAAGTTGTGAATGCTCCAACACTGGAAGTTTTTAAGAAGATGTTGGATAGCCATTTGTCTGAAGTGGTGTAGGGTTCCCTGCCTAAATCAGGGGTTGGACTAGAAGACCTCCAAAGTCCCTTCCAACTCTGTTATTCTGTTAAAAGAAACCAAAAGGCCATTTGCTCATTATCATTGGGATAATACTATAATAGTACAATATTATTGGGATAGCAACTGGTGAAGGGGAATAGGAATCTGCTTTTCTACTTCTTCCTGGATGAGGCTGATGATGGAGAGGGGTGATCCAGTTATTGCATTACAGGAGGAGACTCTTCAACGAGCAAGAGAAGAAGAAGAAAAGAGGAAAGAAATCACGAATCATTTCCAGAGCACACTGAATGATATCCAGGCACAGATTGAGCAACAAAGTGAGAGGAACATGAAGTTGTGCCAGGAAAATTCTGAGCTGGCTGAGAAACTGAAAAGCATCATTGATCAGTATGAAGTCAGAGAGGAGGTAAGAGCAATGTGACAAGTAGTCTTTGTTTAGTGACTGCCTCAAAGAGCAATCATTTGCAGTTTCACCCGTGATAAAAAAAAAAAAAGTAACTCCATGACCAATCCTATCATTTATGACCTTCACAGGTCTGTAAAACAAAAGAAAACTGAAGTAATATCATAAGTACAATCACGTTTTCATTTAGTGACCACTTCACTAAACAACCAAGTGACTGGTTCCAATTATGATTGCTATATGAGGACTACCTGCACTCTCTAGGATGTTTCCCCAAAGTTGAGAGTTATGCCTAGCCTTATGGCATTGGAGAAATAGTAGCTATCCTTCTGTCCCAGACTGTAAATGTTACAAGTATTTTGCAAATTATCCAAAATTATGTAAAATCAATAAGGATTTATTCCCCTTGCGGTTTCCAGCTATACTAAATCTAAACAGTCTAAGCTATCATTTGGACTACTAGGAGTTTTGCCTGTCATCTGTTTTTATGCATTGTGCCTTGATGATGAGTTCTTGAGAAGGGTCTTGTTTTGGAATTTTTTTTTAATCTCTTCCCTAAAGAATAGAGCTATTATTGTAGTTTTGTTATGTGTTCCTTTCTTCACTGCAACTAGCATGCCATAGAACTTGTATTCCAGTCTCAATACCCATAGTACCCATAATCATTCCTTTTTGTTTTTATTTAAACAACTAATGTATTTATTCAACAACCCTGAGGGTCAGTAAGTTAATTGAAGCCCATGAGGTGTTTTTTTATTGCTGATTGAGTTTGCCTCCATTGTAAATTTTTATATGGTTGTACTTTGATCTTTATTTTGGTATTGTGCTTTTTATGTAATGTTAGTCACCTAGAGTTGCTATGGTGAAATGTGCAACCATATAAATTGAATAAATAAATATATCCAGTAAAATAAACATGTTTGGAATGCTACAAATGAATTTCAGCAGCTATAAAGAAATTATGTTGCATAAACTAAAAAAATTCTATTTATTTGATCTTGTGTAGCTTGTAATTTCACAGTTGTTTTTATAGGGGATACTTAATATCTTTAAATAATTTCAAAATCTAAATAACCTCTTTCCAACAAGCAGAAGTTTAAATAATTTTGCAACACTTCTGCTATTTTATCTATATTGTTAACAGCAAAATTCTGTACTTGGCTAGTCAAAAATAATTCCCCATGAGACATACAGCATCCCAAATTCATAGAGAGGCTGCAGTCTGTTAATCATGTACTCTAGCATTCCCCCCATTTCTGTATCTCTTTCTCTCTCTTTTTTTCCCCCTTCCAGCATCTTGATAAAATATTTAAGCACCGGGAACTTCAGCAGAAACTGGTAGATGCCAAGTTAGAACAGTCACAAGAGGTCATGAAGGAAACTGAAGACAGACATCAGCGAGAAAAGGAATATGTATTCATTTTTTCTTTAGTTCTTTATGTATAGTTCGTGTTCACCTCTGAAATGTTATTGGTTGGTTGGTTGGTTTTATATCATGCCCTTTATTTTTTACAACTCAAGTTGGTGTACATAATATTCCTGTCTTCTATTTTCTCCACATCAACTTTCTGGAGTTGGACTGAGACTGGACTGACCCCAAATCACCCAGAAGGCTTTCATGCCTGAGGCTTAGAATTGATGGCCTCTCTCTCTCTCCCTCTCCCTCTCTCTCTCCCTCTCCCTCTCTCTCTCTCCCTCCCACTCTCCCCACCCCCCCCCTCTCTCACACACACACACACACACCAGTGGTGGGTTTCAAAATTTTTTACTACCGGTTCTATGGGTGTGGCTTGGTGGGTGTGGCATGACTTGGTGGATGTGGCAGGGGAAAGATACTGTAAAATCTCCATTGCCACCCTACTCCAGGAGAAGGTTACTGCAAAATCCCCATTTCCTCCCGATCAGCTGGGACTTGGGAGGCAGAGAAGAGATGGGGGCAGGGCTAATCAGAATTTTTACTACCAGTTCTCTAAACTACTCAAAATTTCTGCTACCGGTTCTCCAGAACTGGTCAGAACCTGCTGAAACCCACCTCTCTCTCTCTCTCTCTCTCACACACACACACACACACACACACACACACACACAGAGGAAGCAATGAACTCATGACATTTCCCCTTAGGACAGGAGTGTCAACCTCGCGATGACATGTCATCACGTGACGTATCACAATTTTTTTCCCCTTCTCTGGGAGTGGGCATGGCCAGAGTGTGATGCATCCGGCATGCAGGCTGCAAGGTTGACACCCCTGCCTTAGGAGCTCCAGGTGTACCTATAGTCCTCTAATTTTTTTCTCTCTGGAATTTTGTGATTACTATTAGTTGAGTTAAGATATGATCTATCCGGAGATTGCTCCATTACTGAGTAATAATTTGAACCCATATTCTTCCTATCCAATCTACTACAGGTTGTCCTCATTTAACATGCTCAGCGACCATTTGAAGTTATAATAGTGCTGAACCATTACATGATACGTCCTTGTACTTGGTTATAAGCAAGTAGGTCAGGGGTGAAATGCTACCAGTTTGGATGCTAATGAAATGCTAACCTGTTTTTTACCCCTACGCATGCGCAGAAGGGTTTGCGCATGTGCAGAGGGTTTGCGCGCGCACACATGGTGCACACATGCACGTGAGCGAAGCCAGCGCCACATGCGCGGCGCATACACTTCCGAACCGGTGGGGAAGGTAAGTAGATTTCACCCCTGAAGTAGATCCATTGACAAGGTGCCTATTTTTAGATTAAAATATCTCAGTAGGTTATGATTCAAAAATTCATTTGAACGTTTAACAGATTTTGCAATAGTATCTACAGCATAATATATTATTTGCAGCATACCAAATGAGGAAAAAGCTGATCATTAGATTTTTGTATCAGTCCAAGATCCTTTTGCTTTGAAATTGCTTAAACTTGCATTTTACATTAGCAGTAGAATAACCCTGCTGCCTCCTGGTGGCCTTAATGTTTATTTGCTGCTTCTCCAACCAGCTTAATTCTCCTATAATTTAAAATATTTTTTTTAAAAAAATGATCATATTCAAAACATATGTAATGCAATGCTCCAAATTTAAACATCCTTTAACTCAAACTTTGGTAAATATATATTGAAAAAAATTCCTTTTCTACATTTGTTTCACAATTTATGTTTCCCAGATCTCTCTCACACAGAAACAATTTTAATTTTTCATTGCATAATGCTGTGATTATGTGATACACTCCAAGAAGTAGGTGAGGACAAAATAAAAAAGAAACTGATTCAATACAAAAATTAAACCTGATTTTATTTGCATTAATTTTATTTACATTAAATGAAGAACATAAAATGTAGTTAATAATTAACCACTTCCATGAATATAATTTCCTTCAATTCAGATGAAAAATTACAATCTAATGTGAACTTTTGGGAGGGACTCCAATACAGCCAATAGTTTTACAGCCCATATATCAGAATGGAACAACTCGCCATAGCCAATTCGCTGCGGCCAACTCACCACAGCCAATTTATTGAAGGACAACTTCCCATGGGAAGTTGGGGTTCCCATGGGGTTCACTTAGTTGCTTTTAATTTTGCTGACCACGTTTTCATCAATACTATTGTATCTCTCGTATTAAAGGAAATAATTCCTATGACTACCAGGTTTTGTAATGCTTTGATAAATAATAAAAGGAACTAATCTCACGTTGAACTGGCCCATGGCAAGTTGTCCCACAGTGATTTTTGTTGCAGCGAGTAGGATGCCAGCGAGTCAGCCTAGTCATTAGATTAGTGCAATGCGCTCTACATGAAGCTCCTCTTGAAGACTATTTGGAAACCTCAGTTGATACAGAATGCAGTAGTATGGTCAGTGGTGTGTTCTCCTAGGGCAGCACGTGTTACACTTCTGTTCCACAAGCTGCACTGGTTGCCAGTTTACTTCCAGGTCCAATTCAAAGTGCTGGTTTTAACGCCCTTCATGGCATTAGAGCAGGTGACATGAGGGACCACCTCTGCCCATTTGTATCAGCTGGCTCCATTAGATCACAGAGAGGAGGCATGCAGTGGGTACCTTGGACGGGGAACTACATTTGGTAAATCCTAGGAGACATGCCTTCTCTGCTGTAGCACCTGCTTTACAGAATATCCTTCCTCCTGAAATTAGATTGGCCCCACCCCTTTTGATTTTTTGAACAACCCTCCAAATTTGGTTATGCTACCAAGTCTGGGGCTGTTAGAGCATCAAAGATTTGTCTCAGTAACTTCACTGTTGAGGGAGGCCATTTTTATCCTCTCTTCTACTGAACATAATACTATGTTTAAAATCCACAGTATTTTTGTTTGTGTGTTATTTATTACTGTGGGTTGTTTTTTTTTAGATTTTTATCTGCTATTATATTGGCTGTTTTATCTATTGTTTTGTGCCACCCAAAGTTCCCTTTGGTGAGATGGGCAGCTATATAAATTTGATTAATAAATAAAAGTGAAATAATATTAGCCCTTCTTTATTTCTAGGAGCAAACAAGAACAACCAACTGCATTCAGGAATTGTATATTCTTTATGAGTTGGCTTTCTCTTCCGTCATATTTTATTAATAAAAGCACCAATATCAGCGCAGAACTTTTCTGATTTGGAAGATAACTCCAGGCGATACAATTCGCCTTTAAAAATAAATGCTAATTGAAAATATTGCTTTGAACAGTTGCTTTTATTACAAGTAGCTCCCAGATTTGTCTTGTAAATTAGATGTGTCAAGTTGAGATATAGAGTAGAGAGGGCAAAATAAAACTCATTAATGAGCCAGAACAGATTACACATAGAAGCAGTTTCTGCCTCATCTGTTCTATTTGGTTATGGCAGGTAAAAACTAATTCCAGTTGAAATAGGTAGCTGTGCAGCTCTGGCAAAATGTTAAGCATTATCAAAATGCGGATAGTTTGCAGGATTAAGAATTAAGTCTGAAATCTAATTTAGACTTCAGAATAATTAGTATTTGTCAGCCCACATTAACTAACAGTAGTTCGCTCTCCTTTGCTATTACCCTCATCACGCTACATGGATTTTATTTTAATCTTTGTTGTTTCCCACCAAAGCAAGGAGGATTTAAAAGGACAAAGTTCTGAAAACCTCATGAAAAGCCATATGAACATTTCACTTAGATTTATAGCACTTATTTGGAAAATGTTGCCTAGAGGTGAAGACGCTCATCTCCCACTCGGCAGGTTGAGAGTTCAATCCTAGGCAGCGACAGATGTTTATCAGGACATAAAGTGTAAAATATCTTCTGAGAACTTGGCATAGACGTCAGGAAGGGCATCCAGCTAGTAAATGCTCAGCTCCATTTAGTCGCCCTGGCTCCACCCCGATAAAAAGGGATTATAGGGCCATAAAAAGAAAAAAAATTAAAAACTACTACACTGTTACTAGAACAAAAGAAAAATGTTTTAAAAAGTAATTTCATATATTTTGTGGATTCCAGTCACTTTATTAGACACAAATCAAACATGCAATGTTTTACAAATAGCAAATATTTTTTAAAATTTAAATTATTTGATCTTTCAAATGTTGTGTGCATTCTTAAATCTCAAATAGCTACTCAACCAAGCTGCAGAATGGAAACTACAGACAAAAATGCTGAAAGAACAAGAGACCGTTCTCCGGGCTCAGGTAAAATAAGGACGTTGTTTCTATTATGTACTTTTTCCAACTGGTCGTGTTCAACATATTAGATGTATAAAAGTGGATAAAATGTAGCTAACCTTATTTATGTTCAACTCCATTTAACTCCATTTAAGCATATTATCTGGAAGGGCAGGCGTAGCATGCATTAGATTAAATCCTTATGATATATTAGAATGGAGCAGTCCATACCTTTTAATGGAAACTTTCAACTAGAGTTTGGGATATTGCAGTCTAATTAACCTGGAATTGAGAAAAATTGGGGAAATTTGGCTTATTTTTCTTGTCTTTCTCCCATCTATTCTTTTTTATTTTAAAAATATTTTCTCTCTAAAAAAGATTTAAAGCCAGCATTACCCTTTGTTTCATGTCTAGAATGAATTCATGAAATTCAGCAAATGTTAGTTATTTACCCTTTTTTACCAACCATTTTTATTATTAAGGAGTATATTAAATTTATGGAATTTGCATAAGCAACAAGAATTTGAAGCCAACCTATGGTAGATCAGGTACAACAGTAGGTCAGAAGAATTGAAATTATGCGATGTTATATAAACCATCAAGGATGGTTGAGTATTTGAAACTGGGTTTTGTCCAAGGTAGGAAAAAAAGTAAAAACAAAAATATTTTGTCCTTAATTACACATATTATCTCCCAAACTTCATATAGCTAAATAAGTGGGATTATCTACATTTGTTTAGCGTTTAGGAACATTTTAAGGCAGGGGTGTCAAACTCAAGGCCCGGGGGCTGGATCCAGCCCGCAGGGTGCTTAGATCTGGCTCACAGGTACGCCCTGGAAACAGCAAAGGACCAGCCCGCATTGCCTCTGCCAGAGGAGCTCAGGAGGTCCGCCTCCATTTTCACTGGCAGAGGGTTGTAGGAAGCCTTCGCAGCCGAAAATGGAGCTTGAGAGTCTGTTTTCACTGGCAGAGCCCTTGGGCCACCTCAGGCACCCCCGACAGAAGTGGTATCAAGCTGGCCACACCCATCCTGGCCCCCCAAGGTCAAACACAACCCTGATGCTGTTTTAAGGGCTAGCAATTTGCAATTTTAAACATTAGAAATAGTGAAATTTTTAGGAAATTATTCTTTATGCCATGTTGATCATGTAAGACCGGGGTGTCAATCCTGCAGCGTCACATTGTCGTCACATGACATATCACAATTTTTCCCCTTTACTAAAATGGGTGGGTGTGGCCAGCGCATGACGCATCCGGTCTGCGGGCTGCGAGTTTGACACCTCTGATGTAAGACATTGGATTCCTTTATCCCAATACTAGCACCCTTTCTTACCTGGGTCAGAAGGGTGGGGAAAGGCAACCTATGGCACTCCAGTTTATTGCTGAAATGCAAGTAGCCTGGAGAAACATGAGGAATTCTGGGAGTTAAAGTTTACAAATGCATCTGGAATGCCTACAAGCTGTCATAATTACCTAACTCTTCAGAAGGAAAAACTTTCTTTAATGAATCTCCTTGGATCCTCTTTAGGATCCAAGCCCAATTCTCCCACTCCTTACTTACACCACACCCCCATTTTACAGGAACATCTTGATTTTCCAGACAGCTTTGAAGAGGATGGAAATTTTTTCTTCTGCAAATTTTTTTAAGATACATTTAAATTCCAAGCTAAAAGTTTCATCTTACTATCTTTCTGCAATCTTTTGAATTGAACTGAACTGAGTGCTATTATTGTGCAATGATGGGTGTAACTGACCAATTTTTTCCCCCTTTGATTGCAGCTGAGTCTCTATTCTGAACGTTTTGAGGAATTTCAGAAAACGCTAACAAAAAGCAATGAAGTGTTTGCCAACTTCAAGCAAGAAATGGACAAGGTGGGTTACACGTTGCATTTCGAACCCAGGCTTTCCATGTTGTTAAATGACACCACTGAATGTTTTTCAGGTTGATTTCGTTTAGTTTTCAAGACTTTCCAACAATTTTTTATTTATAAAGCTGTAACTTCTTTATTGATTAAGGATCAGCTGGAACTTAGATTGCTCTATTATTTTTCCAGATATTTAGATCAATTCGTTTATTTAGCTTTTGTTGTATAGAATCTTGAGTTTTGGTTGGTTGGTTTCTCCAGTAAAGAATATAAAATAGGGCTGGAGCTTTCAGGGTTTTAGAAACCACTAAGCAAATAAATAGATTGTTCAGTCATGTGTAGACTGGGAGCAACTATTACGTAGCTTATGGCATTTTCCAGCCCTTCCATTGATCTTTCAGAGTTCTCCAATGTCATAGCCCTGAAATACAGTGACAATTGATGGTACAATTTTCTTCATGTTTTAGAAAGGAATGTTTATTTTTAAAAGGTTCTGTCCTAGCCATTTCTTATGATATCAGTGTAGTACAATTCTGCTAACTTTGAGTTTGCAGCATAATATGAAAATGTCCATGTTAGAGCCATAAAAGGTTCATGTTGTAAACATTAAGGCCAGTGATGAAATCTGAACCGGTTTGCTACCGGTTTGCTGGCCGCGCAGAAGCGCTGCGTGCCAAGCGTGCGCTGCGCTTGTGCATGCACAGTTCACACCAAATGCACACTCTGCACGCATGCACAATATGCACCAAATGCACACTGTACACACATGCGCAGTATGCACCAAAAGGAGGCTTGGGAAGGTAAGTAGAACAGCGGGGGGGGGAATCAGCTGTGGTGCGTGATCTTGGGAACCTTTTTAAAAACTTTTTTAAAGCATTTTTTACTACCGGTTTGGGCGAAGAGGTAGTAAAAAATGCTTTAAAAAAGTAAAAAAAAGAGGTTCCAATGATCACAGCTGTGCCGCACGATCATTGGAACCTTTTTTAAAACTTTAAAACTGGCATCAAGCTGGCGAGAAATTCCTTAATATGATTAAAACAATATACTCAGATCAAATTGCAAGAATATGGATAAATGGAGAGACAACAGACCAATTTAAAATATCCAAAGGAGTGAGACAAGGATGTCCCCTCTCTCCCATACTATATATACTAGCACTGGAGCCCCTATTGAACGAAATTAGGAATGATAATGAAATAAAAGGATTAAGAACAAAAAACCAGGAATATAAACTTCAAGCATTCGCGGATGACGTAGTATTTATATTAGAGCAACCGAAACAATCAGGACTGAATTTATTAAGGAAGCTAGAACAATATGGCGAAGTGGCAGGTTTGAAAATTAATAGACAAAAAACTAAATTACTAACCAAAAATTTGACAAAACCCCAGGAGGAAGAGCTGGAAGAGGCACTAGGAATACAAACAACAACTAAAATAAAATACTTAGGAATTTGGCTCACCAATAAAGTATCATCATTAAAAGAAGATAACTACATCAAATTGGTTAAACAGATACAGAAGGACTTAGAGGCATGGAGTAAATTAAAACTATCATTATTAGGCAAAATTGCGTCAATTAAAATGACTATTCTACCAAAAATGTTATATTTATTTAGAACAATACCGATAAATCCGGGGAAAACATATTTTAAAGACCTCGACAAAATGATATCCAAATATATATGGCAGGGGAAGAGAGCCAGGATTAAACTGAAACACTTGCAAGATACCAAAGAAAGAGGCGGCCTGGGATTACCAGATTGGCAAACCTATTACATTACAACAGCCCTAACCTGGATTAAGGATTGGATGACACTCAAAGATAAACGAATATTAGCTCTAGAAGGATTCGATCTGTTCAAAGGTTGGCACGCATTCCTATGGGAGGAAAAGCCCAGACAGCATGAACACTTTAGGAGACACTACATTAGAGGAGCACTGGCAAAAATTTGGATTGAAATAAGAAGGAAACATTACGATAAAATTCCAAGATGGATATCAACCATGGAAGCACAAATCTACCCGAATACAATGGATATGAATAAAATGAAGACCTACGACGAATTGCTGAATACAGAGGGAGATATAAAAACAACAGAGGAACTGAGACAACAGGGCACGGACATTGATTGGTGGACGTATTTACAGATAAAATCAAGATATAAAAGTGATATGAAAAAATTTGGAATCCAAAAAAGAAAGAAATGAATTAGACAAAATTATAATGCAATCAGATGACAAATTAATAACTAAAATATACAATTATTTGCTTAAATACAAACTGGAAGAAGAAGTGGTGAAGGAAAATATGATTATTTGGGCTAAAAATTTTGGATATAATATTAATCTAGAAAAATGGGAAAAAATGTGGAAAGTCAATACTAAACTGACAATGTCCGTGCCCTACAAGGAAAATACATACAAGATGTTTTACAGATGGCATCTCCCCCCTGCACGGCTGGCAAAGATGTTCCCCAACACCAATCAAAATTGCTGGAAATGTAAAACACAGAAGGGGACTTACTACCACATGTGGTGGTCATGTCCAAAAGTAAAAAAATTTTGGAAAACAATTCAAAGTCAATTAGAAGAAATCACCACCCAAAAAGTACCCCTTAGACCGGAAACATACTTATTAGGAATACTCACAAAAGATTATAAAAAAGAGATACAATACTTAATTATACACATCCTAACCGCTGCCAGAATCGCTTTTGCACAGATATGGAAATTGGAAAATACGCCAACACAGGAAAAAGTAATACAAAAAACAATGGAATGTGCGGAAATGGATAAACTGACCAAAGAAATTCAGGGAAAAGAAGACTCAGACTATTATCTAATTTGGCAAAAATGGTATAACTGGTTAGAAAAAAAAGGACACGAATTAAGGAAATACCATCCAACTATATCCAAATACAGAAACAAAATGAAATACCGTTATATAAATATTGATATATGATGAAGTATAATATGTACAGATATATTGATATACAATTACCGAAGTATCTCCACTGGAATTAAATGGTATTAAACTGAAGAACAGATTCTTATGAAAAATGTTCCATGCTGACGTCAACCCTACAAACTATTTAAGAAGCTAATAATCGGCATGTTTTCAGTTTATTCACTGCTTGGAATTATCCACAAAATCGCCACTAAGTTATCATTGTATTATTCATTTATTTTTTTAAAAAAATGGAAAACATATATAAATTGATGATGCTATTGCAACAGCATTCTATGAGATCACCTACTTCTGCTAGCCTAACAGGAAAAAAATCAAGTGTTATATCTATATTCACATGCTTATGTTTTGTAATATTACATACAGATTGATATTTACTCCGATGATCTCCAGAAAGGGGAAAAAAGATATCAGCTTTATAGTACTTTGGCAACTGGTGGTCATATGTATTTATTATGCACCTTTAATTTTCCCTTATTATGGACCTTTGATTATTTTTAACATGTCTAACATGGATTCATAAATCTTTGCACATTTGAACAATTCTATCTTCATAATGTGACCACAGAAGAATAAGAATGAATGTTAGGGCTGGCATCAAAACTCATTTACATACTTTTTGGATATGAAAGCATAGATTTGAATCCTAAAGTACAATTCCAGGAAGAAGGCAAAAAAATTCATTTGCATATTTTTTGGATATGAAATAAGGTATGAATGTAGGAAAGGGTTTCCTACCATTCCTTCTTTCATCACTGTAGAAAAAGCATCTCTGCAACAAATGAGATTTTCCTGAACAGCTTAAGGTGACCCCTTTATTCAAGCCCTCATGCATTTGCTTCCAACTGTTGTAGACTGGTAATTTACATTATTTTAATTGATTAGTTTTCTGGTGGTGGTTCATATCTTGTTGTTCAAAATAAATGGTTTTGTTGTAGACCATTTTGTGACCCTTAGATGAAGGTATAGAAATGTAAAAAATGTAGTTATAAGGGAAGATGGGGGGGGCTGACCAGTTTGGGTGATTTTCCCCTTCCCACACCCTAGCCTCGTGATGGCGAACCTATGGCACACGGAGCCATATTAGTGGGCACGCCAGCTCAGCTCTGGGGCGCATACACGCGCCGGCCAGCTGATTTTTGGGCCTTCTGGGCCCACCAGAAGTAGGGAAACAGGCTGTTTCCTGCCTCTGGAGGGCCTGGGGGTGGTGGGGAAGGCCCGTTTTTCTTTCTTACCTGGCTCCAGATCCTCTCTATGCATCTGGGGAGGGCAAAAACAGCCTTTCCCACTCCCTTGGAGGCCCTACGGAGGCTGAAAGGGCCCATTTCCCGACTCCCGGTGGGACAGGAAGTGACGTTTTTTCCTGTCCCCAGCCTCCAGAGACTCCTAGAGAGGCTCCTAGAGAGGCTCCTAGAGACTCCTCGAGAGGTTCTGGAGGCTGGGGACAGCAAAAAATGTCACTTCCTGTCCCACCAAGAGATGGGAAATGGGCCCTTTCAGCCTCTGTAGGGCCTCCAAGGGAGTGGGAAAGGCTGTTTTCTCCCTTCCCAGATGCATAGAGAGGATCTGGAACCGGTAAGAAAGAAAAACGGGCCTATGAGGCCATCATGTGCCAGGAGCGGGGGTGGGTGGGGTTGCGTGCGCATGCGCGTGGGCATGTGCGTGTGTGACCCGCCCCCGCCCCCCCTCTCCTGGCATGCGATGGCAAAAAGGTTAGCCATCACTGCCCTATCCTATAGGCAGGTTCTCCCACACCCTAACCTATATTTTCAGGATGAGAAGTCATGCAGTGTTCCTAAAAATTTGGTGCAGCGCAGGTTGCTAGATGGGATGGTCAGTTACTTTTTCCAGGAGTAGCAAGAAAATTGTTGCAAAATTATAGATAGGAATAAGAAATCATGAAACAAGTACTGGTACATAGAAGCAAGAAAAGAGAATAATAAAAATATGAGTATTTATACAGTTTAGGTTTTGGTGGGCAGGGTAATTTCTGAAATATTCCCCATCTCTAATACTTTTTTCAGTTCAATCACTCAAATGGGAAATATTTAATAGAATCTCAATATATCCACCAACATCTTACCATTTTTCTGTTCCCTCTTCATGGGGAATATCTGTCTACACACGAAGTGTGCTTGTGTATTGATAAAATAGTATCCACCAGTAGAATGGATAACTCCCTTTATGTGTTTCCCAGTGTTCTGACCTAGACTCCCTTAACAAGCAGGAGGCAGGAATTACTGGCAAAACCTCTTTTTTTTTTACAGGACTGTGAATTACTTTCATTTACAGTCAGCAAGGTTTGTCCAAACAGTTTTTCAAAGGAATATTTCTCAATACACCTTATCTCATTTGGCAAGCTGCCACGTAAATTGTTACCAACCGCAGTACAAGACAAAACCTGGAACAGAGTCTCTCAGAGTCACAGATGAACGAATTCACAGTCGTGTAAAAAACAACTGTTTGCTCCTCTTTTATTTCCTATGGGAGGGGCCAATTATCTCCAAGGTGTAGCCTTACTCCCAAGTCGATCCTGCATTCTTAATTGTTCTTGTCTTCCGGCAGCTCTGCTTATGCGCACACTGGGAACGGGCTCCAGCTGTTCCTCTGCCTCGATGTTGTCTATCTCCCACTCTGCCTTGATGCAGAGCTCTCATCTGAGCTTTCCCCAGCCCCCAGGACTGGCCCAAGTTCCTCCCCAACCTCCTCACTGGCCGACTCTGCTGGCCGCTGGCAGGCCATAACACCCAGTCTCAAGAGAATTGAAGAATACTATATCAAACCTACGTAACATATGGAGAGAGAAAGGAAGCTTAGTCACATGAATAAATATACTCATATATCTTGGACAAGTATCCTTGAGAGCAATAATTAGGAACCATCCATGGCTCTAGGATGCTATACAACATCCATTAAATTAATATGGAGGTTGTATGAGTATTTAATTAGCTTACGCAGCCCTAAGGAAAGACATTTAGAAAAAGTCAAATTTAACTTTCCTGCTCTGTCCACTAGATTTTGATTATTATTTTTTTACAGATGACAAAGAAAATGAAAAAACTGGAAAAGGATACAGCCACGTGGAAAGCAAGGTTTGAGAACTGTAACAAAGCTTTACTGGACATGATTGAAGAGGTATGAAACAAATTTTAAAATCAGTTGCATATAAAAGCCATATAATCTTGTTCATTTAAATGTTCTTAATTTATTTATTTCCAATTTAAAATTTATTTCCAATTTATATACCACCCTTCTCCCTGAGGACTCAGGGCGGTGTACAGCCAGAATTAAGAACATGAAATACAAATATTAAAAAACCATTAAAATATATATAAATTTGGCCCAAAAATTAAAAATCACAAACCAATTTAAATATATTAAAAATTTCTTCTTAAGCCAGCCCGGCTTGCTGGAAAAAATGGGTTTTAAGGGCACGGCGGAAGGCACTGAGGTCTTGGATTCTCCTTATCTCTGGGGGCAACTGATTCCAGAGGGTAGGTGCCCCCACAGAGAAGGCCTTCCCCCTGGGGGTCACCAGTCTACATTGTTTGGCTGATGGCACCCTGAGGAGGCCCTCTCTGTGGGAGCGCACGGGTCGATGGGAGGTTGTCGGTAGCAGCAGGCGGTCTCAAAGATAGCTAGGCCCTATGCCATGGAGCGCTTTAAAGGTGATGACCAACACCTTGAAGCGCACCCGGAAGACCACCGGGAGCCAGTGCAGCTCGCGCAGGAGCGGTGTTACATGGGACAGTTAATAATGGAACTGTGACGTCACTATTACTGGAAAGATTTCCAATACTGTTCATACTTACTTGTCTGCTCAGTGGCAGTTAATAAATGAAGTAACAGAGTTATGTAAGCGCTTGTTGCATGTGGGAAATGAAACGACAAAATTAAAGAAATCTGAAATTTGGAGTCACACTTTAATTCAGAGGCAATCTAACTGTCAGCATGCATGGTCAGCTAGAGTACTTAGCAGCCACTGGATAACATTTGCACAATCCAATTATCCCACTTACATTTTTCACTGAGCAAGTTAGGCAGAATTTTTTTTAAAAAAGACTTTTAACATGATTTAAATACAATAATAGAATGACTTGGGCTGGCTTCATGCATTGCAGAAGTGAAAGGCTAACAGTAACATGCTATAATTTGCAATTTCCCAATTTCCCCTTTCACACACACCCTTTTGCATCCTGCCAGCTAAAATTAGCATCTCTAAGAAGTCTTAGCTGGCTCTATAGGATTGCATAAATTGAATGTAAAATTTAGGTCCAGAATACCACAAATTTTGCAGAAATGGCAAGCAAATGGTAAGATCTTAGGGTTACCTTTTTAAGTAGTATTTGAAGGAGCAAACAAAAATGGAGGAGAGATTTATCTGGTCAGTTAGATTCTCTTCTGTTGTGTATCAGCTTGGCAGCCTTCAAATGTTTTGCTTTTTTTACTCTATCATAGAAAGCCATGAGGGCCAAGGAATATGAATGCTTTGTAGTGAAAATTCAAAGACTAGAAAATCTTTGCAGAGCTCTGCAGGAGGAACGGAACGTATTGTATAAAAAAATAAAAGAAGCACAATTCCCTGAAGAGAACAAAGAAGAGGAAGCAGAAGAAGATGAGGAGGAGGAAGAACAGCAAGTTGAAGTGGAGGATAGTCTGGAGAATAAGACAACAGTTACAAGTCAGGCTATTGATGAGCCATCTGCCACCAGTGAAATTATCCCAAAAGATTTGGCTACAGCTTTCATGATGACTCATGTGAATATGCCTGTGATCCCAACCAATGAAGAAAAAGTGGAAGAACTACATGATCCCAAAGTATGTGACCCAATTTGTCCTCCTGAGATATTGGCTTCTTGCATGCCACAAGGCAACCAGGACTGCTGTATTGATCCAACATCCATGCCCAAAGCACAGGAACCAGAGGGAGACACAGTAAAACTTGGTCCAGATCATCCAGTGTTGAAGCTCTCAAATACTGACATGGAAGATATTGATTAGCATGATATAATGATGCATTTTCCCCCAAAATGACATTCTCCAACCCTTTCCTAAACATTGTTTTTCATAATAATATGGCTTTACAAGTGCTTTCAAACCTTCAATTTCATAGAATACATACTGTTGTATCCCATGATTACTGGTGGTGTTTGAATTTGCTTTATCTCTCATTCAGATAAAGCCAAGAGCTTCTCTATCATTTAGTAGAAATTATTAAATTAAATTAAATTAAATTAAATTAAATTAAATTAAATTATTAAATTAAATTAAATTAAATTAAATTAAATTAAATTAGAAATTAAGAGTTGTCATTTCCACTGGAAGTTTTAAAAAATGGATAAGTCCTCCTATGGGAAGCCTACTCTCAAAATGCTCCAAATAAACTAAATAAATAGTTTGTTTATTATTAAATAAATAAATAGGGAAAGGGAGGAGCTAAGGGTGCTTGAGACAGCAAAAGCTAGCAAGCCTTAGGGATAAAACTAAAATGAATTTAAAAGTAGTAAAATATAGTGCCAGAGTAGCAAACCCTAAACTACTGATCATATATGTAACAATTATTCAATCGGTATTTCTGGTTTTTTATTTTCAAACAAATTTGCTTAGTTAAATTGACAAATTTAGTCAATCTTACTTATTTGATCTATCCAGGGACTGGGATACCAAATAATAAATAAATAATCACTATCAGCAATCTATCAACTGGTACAGAGATTTATACTCATGTGGAATATAAACCAAAAAAATCATAGATAAATTGGGTTCATTTATTATGTAAATTAGTAAGGCTAGAATTTAAAGTTCAAACATTTGAAGCTTAAATCGGGTATGATTAAAAAGAAATAGCTTCAGTTATTTGTGCTGCTAAAACCTGAACTCCTTCCTACTACCTCTAGTATTTCAAACATAAGGCATCTTGACCTAATTACCTAACAGTACGCCTTATAATTTTCTGCTACTTTCATCATAGTTAAGTCTTTGGAAATGTTCTGGATTTCTGAAAACAAATGTTTTTGTTTTAAATTTATATGCCTTATGTTGGGATCTGGTATGAAGTGATCTGTCATATGCTTTCTGATATAGAATGACAGTGTTAACGCTGATCCATGTCCAAGTTTAGAATGGCTGTATTTGCATTTAAGATTACATCTTTAGTCATAAAATTTGACTTGAAAAATAAACTAAATTTGGAAATCTTTCAAGATCCAGTACTAGAACAGGTAGGCCTCAAACCTGGGTGTGGCATTTAATTTTTGCTTTCAAAAATTAGCTGTTCCTTTTGCAGCCAATTCTTTTGGGGTTATAAAATATGCAAAATGGCACACCTCTATTCCTATATTCTACATCAGCAGTTCCCAAACTTCTTGCACTGAGGACTGATTTCATGGAAGACAATACTTTCATGGACTGGGGGAGGGAAATGATTTCGATTTCGCTCGCCCGCCGCTCACATACAGCTGTGTGGCCCAGTTCCTAACCAGCCACGGACAGGTACTGATCCATGGTTCGAGGTTGGGAACCCGTTCTGCATTCATATTTTATATTACAAATAATTCGTCTGTCTTATTTTTAAATTGTCATTATTCAAACTAGACGACAATCTAGTACCTGAGTTTGTCGTTGGATTCCCTTGAATTAAACAATGATTCAGTATGTTAGCTAGACTATATGATTTTATGCCTATCAATTGAATTTACATGTTTTTTTAAACACTGGATCACTTCTGAGGAATTCTAGCCTAGTTTCAATTAAGATTTTCATTTATAACCTCCTTAGTATTTTAAACATTGCCTTAATAGTTTCCATTTGCTGAGTTTTGTTTTTTTTTCCTGTTTCTTTTATTAGACAAAAGCTCACATTTCTGCAAAAGCTGTCAGATGTGAATATTTTTATGGGGACTATAAACAGAAATTTGAATTAGGCCTAATAATGATCAGTTGAGAGATATTATCTCAGTAATGTGAAGAACCATCTGAAAAATAGTTGATAATATTTGTCTGAGATCATCTAGCTATACATTACCACCTGTATTGAAGAGATTCAAATTAGGGATGACTCCAGAACCAATTTCACAGTAGGAATCTCTCAGCATTAGACATTAGAAAATCTATTTGAAGATCTCTATACTATTACATTGTACTGTATAATTTATTGTGATTGCACTTTGGAGAGTGGGAGAGCAGGTTGGTCTCCAAACCAATTTAAAAATACTAGAAATGACTACAAAGGCAAAACAGAAAGCAGTGTTACATGTAAGAGCAATAAAACCAGGCCTTTGATCCCATAGCCCCACCCAAACAGGCAGTCTGGAAGACAAGCCAAATGAATCATTAATAAGTAGCAAGTCTCTACCTGAGATTTTCATTGAACTGACAACATCTATCACGCAAAAATGAGAAGCAACTTTAGCAAGTTTGTAAAGTGGTGCAAAAATATCTTTTGAAAACCCCTGACAGATCCAAATTAATAGTTAGATGTTTCTAGGGACTATTACAAATAGGATTCTGGCTACAAAATGATTGTTGAAGTACCCTGTTTGAGTGGTTCACCTCATGGTTATCTCATAAATTTTCGTATTATTCCTTGTGGAAACATACATATAATCAATGTACTTGAAAACAGTAAACAGGCAGAATAAGGGTTTCCACCTACTCAACTTTTCTGGCTTTTTAAAGCCATAAATACTAAAAGGCTGGTGCACACATAGCTCTAATTCAGCAGCAACTCACAACTTTATCCATTGTACTGTTGTTGTTTTTTGTTTTTTTTTTTATTTTATTTTTATATGCCGCCCTTCTCCGGAGACTCAGGGCGGCTTACAATGCGTTAAGCAATAGCCTTCATACTTTTGTATATTTTATACAAAGTCAGCTTATTGCCCCCACAAACCGGGTCCTCATTTTACCCACCTTAGAAAGGATGGAAGGCTGAGTCGACCTTGAGCCTGGTGAGAATTGAACTCACAGTAATTGCAGGCAGCTGGATGTTAAATGCTGCCTTAGTAGGAGGCATTAGCCTCCTATGCCACTCAGGCTCCTTTTGTTGTTGTTGTTGTTGTTGTTATTGTTATTATTATTATATTTCTATGCCGCCCACTCTCCGAGGACTCTGGGCGGCTTACACCAAAGACAGTATACTAAATAGCACATTGCCCCCAACAATCTGGGTCCTCATTTTACCCACCTCGGAAGGATGGAAGGCTGAGTCAACCTTGAGCCGGTGAGATTTGATCCGCTGATCTGCTGAACTAGCAGTCAGCTGAAGTAACTGCAGTACTGCACTCTAACCACTGTGCCACCTCGGCTCAAGATCAAGAATTTCAAGCAGCCAGAAAAAGCCATCCAGAACCGATGATCACATTTTTCAGTTTCTACATGACATTAGCAACTACATGAATTTTGTTGTTTTATATAACTACAGTATAAGGTATTGGGATGTTTGAGACACAGGTAGTACTTGACTTACAACCAGTCACTTACAACAGATCCTAAAAAAGGGATCACAGGCTTCAAAGTTCTGACATCTGTCCCCAGTCATGTGCGTTTTGGGCACTCAGCCCATAAATGCACCAGCCTGCATTTATGGCTCTTTGCTACATCCTGTGGACATGTGACTGCAATTTACATTTTTGTTTTTGCTTAACTATCATGTGTGTGCTTCATAACTACCATGCTCATTTAAAGAAGCCAAAAAAAAGTCATAAAATCTGGTGGTCATCTGGTGACCCACTTTACAACTGAAATTAGGGGCTCAATTATTATAAATCAAGGACTACCTGTAACTTGTTTACAAATGTTTTAGAAAATAATGTAAAATTTGCTATTACTAAGGAAACTCGGGAAGCCTTAGTTATATGATATAAATGGATAACAGCTGATCAAAAGGTGCTGCTGGATAATATTTTAGATAAGTTATCTTGGAATGAAATGAAAGATGTACGGAAAATTGCCGTTACCTTGCTTTCAGGAGTTAGTGGCCCAAACGCCTGTTCTGACCACCAAAACAATGAACCCTATTTAAAGAAGGAAGCAACTTTCACAAGCAAGTCTTGTAACCTGAATCTTGGAAACCAAGTGATGTCTCATTTGTTTTTTGAGGGTTGAGGAGTTCAGCAAAAAATTAAGTGGCACATTCAAACCCTAATGTCAGTCAAGAAATGTGTCCCAGCATATTTCCTCTGAAAGAGCCTATTCCCAGTTTCGGGACAATACATTCTTGACTGCTTCATGTTCGTGTTTAGATACACCAGTGTCGGAGATCAGAATGGATTTCACTGAAATGCTCCTAACAGATATGTCTAGATGGTATATTCTCCTTTCCCACAGAGGGTGGTCCAAAAGTAAGACTTTCCAGAACAGTCTCACTGCATAGAAACATATTTTGGGACTAATACCATGCATTAAAGACGTTCTACCAAATGAAACTTTGGCGTAGACATCCGGTTTAATTTTTAATATCAAATTAATGATATTGATGGAAGGCCAGATTGCAGACATCCATCAGTAAAACCCTTATATTATTGGTGACTAAAAAGGACCATAAGCTCTCCCTCAAAAGGACAGAAAGCCATTTTATGAATTAACGTATATGCAGATATGGTGTCAGGAACAACATAGCAATCTATGGTTGCATCCTAGAAAGTCATAAACAGGTAATCAGGTGAAACAAACTTTGTCTGCCCATCCCTTTAATTTTGGTGTGCACTCATTTAAGAGTTTGTCATCAAATCTCGACGTTTTGTGATGGCTATAAGGGCTTTCTTATTGCTGTTGCCAGAAGCATATATATTAATTTTATTGGCTACATGCTTCAGAATTAGCAATAGCATCAACTGCGGAAGTCATAAAAGATATTGTTTTATTCATGAGATAAAGTGCCTGAAACAATCAGACTCTTGAATCTTGTCACATCAGAGAATCAGAATCAAAAGTACATTCAGTTCAACCCTGTTCAATGCAAAAATGCAAATTAAAGCATACATCCAAAGACACAGTGATGCCACTTGAGTGCATTCAGTGAAGGAGTGCCCATCCCTTTTCAGGGTTCTATTGTTGAACTTCAAATAATAGATTTTCTCTCTATCATTTAATAGAAATCTGCATCCCTTCCAGTTAAACATATAATCCCAAATACTGCACTCTGAAAAAACTGGGGGGGGAAGACCTAACCTCTTTTGGGTAAAACATTAGCCAGTTATTTAAAAAGTGATGAATGCCATCAAATGCTTCTTTTTCTTTTGCAAGGCTAAATATATCCAGCTCTTTCAGTTGTTCTTCAGAGATCAGAGATGAACCAGAGTTCCATTAACAAAGGATAGTAGAAGGACTGAGTAAGACCTGTTGTTGGTGAAACTGATTTCCTACCTATTGTCTTGGCTGCTTCCTGAATGAGCTATTCCAGGTGGTAATTTCAGATGCTGTATAATTCATTGCTGGAGTTCTTGTGTGACTGAAACTAAGTTTGCTGGCTGAGGAATTCTGGGAGTTGAAGTCCACAAGTCTTCAAGTTGCCAAGGTTGATTAAAGCCTACAAGTGTTCTGAAACTGACCAATATTGCAAAGGTCTCTCGGGCCTTCTGACATAATGTAAATTTGGGCTGTCAAAGCCACTCTGGATTCTGCTTGGTGCTGAATCTTATCTTGAATCTGGAGTTGAATCTACAGTTCAACTCTACTTGGTGCTGAATCTTATTGTAAAGTAAGAACAGGGCCCTGCATTTTCATGGTGACAACAGACACTAAAAAGACCCTCATGTTATTTCTGTTATTATCTTACCTTAAAAATATTTCTGCAGCATGCTTTGCATAGGCCTCCTACACACAACGCTGTGAATCTTTATCTGGACTAGTTTAAAACAGCCACAAACATAATCCACCACAATTTATTATTTTAATACAGATAAATCACAACCCCAAAACTTAACACCACAAAAATGGCATCATAAACAATTGTTTTAAAGTTTATCAACATTCATTTGCTATGTACATATTTTTCCCCTGCAAAAGTGCAATCCAAAACTTTTTTTTTCCTTTTAAGGAAAAAAGGCTTTTACTGACAAACGCAAACAGGGCAAGCTGGATACCTCACAACAATTTGCCCTTGCATACCTCGTACAATTAAATCAGAAGAAAATTAAATTTGCTACGTCTTCCTATCAAAAGAGCACACTGACAGAATCACCTGTTGCCTCAAATCTGGTTTTCAGTAATTTACTGGTTTATAATGATCAAAAAAGCATCAGTCATATAGTCTCAGGTGCACTTAATGCTTTTAAATGGAGTTTAAAATGTATGTGTGATCAAAGATTCTTTCAAGCTGAATTGTAACACTATTCTGATGTTTTTTTAGGAACACGTTTTCCTTTTTCTTCACGAAGGGCAGGAAAATGCAGGATTAACATTTAATATCTTCATTTTGTTATTTGTATGTGGAGGTGTGGTTACCCACATGGAACAATTTTCTGCCACAATGCTAGTATCGTGTTATCAAATACAAATACCATGGTGAATCAAGTTTGGAGAAGATCATGTAGACACAGCAAAAGAATTTAACATGGTCTTCCAATGTTTAAGAATAAAAACAATTATCAGGTATAAAACAGACGTTATGGTGGTGGCAGCTTTGGAAAGAAATTTCTGCCAGATGCAATACAGGATACATCTCTATTGCACACCTCAGCAAAGTGAAATGGCTATATATGAAAATGCACATGGAGACTATAAGTGGCAGTTTCTAAAACAACTGTGGGAATTTAGAAAAAAGATGCAGTTGCTTTAACATTTCAAAGAAAGCTATCCTGTTCACTGCCTAGCACACTGTGAAGGTCCTCTTTCAAAGGTTTGTACAGCCCTAATTTATGTGGTATTTTATTATATGCAATCATCAAGAAAGTCAAATTAATTCAAATTCATATATATCAAGAACCATTATTTTGGAGAGGTATTGATGATGGTGGCCAACAATAGATAGTTTATACACTATAGATATCAAGCTATATCAAGTTGGTTTTAAGGAATTTCTGATATGTTTTCTTTAATTTAAAAAAAATGCATTTATTTGTAAGGTTTATATTAGCATGTAAACAGCTCAGAAATGATTTTCACTAATGAAAGTGAATGCCCTTTTTTGTGCAATTCAATTTAGTTCCTACTTTCTCAATCTCTTGATCCTGTATCATTTAAGATTAATTGCAATTCTACAAATGCCTTTTTTAAATGGCCATACACACAACATGGACTTGTGGAGACATAATTGGAGCAGATGCTAAAATATAACCAACACATCCCATAGAACCCAATTTTCATACTGCCAGCTTCAATGAATACATGAAGCCCCCTAGGAACAATTTTTTTCAATACTGAAGGATGCTAAATATCTGTAGGGGGTGTGCACAAGAAATCATCTCTGTCCCTCCCTCCCTCCCCCTCTCTCTCTGTTACCTGTTAACCTAAAAAACCGCATGGCTATGGATATGAGATTTCCTGGGCAATCCACACTGAGTAAAGTAGAGAGGAGTAGTGATAGCCCCTATGAAACTTGTTACCGAGTAATGCCTGACATATTTAACATTGTGTTCTATGCATGCAAGTTGTGGGTAATGCATGCACATAAATATGAGTTCACGGCCTCTATCATTCCTGTATAATTTAATGTCAATCAAATATATCAATTAGGAAGGAACTCTATGCCTCAGGCAGTGACATATATACAACTGCCAATGTTCATTTCTTTACATGGTGACGGGAAAGAGCAGCATGATTTATAATCCAAACCAAATGTTAAATTGTACACGGCATGCAAATTACAAAATAAACAGTATCAGAAAGGCCTCAATAGAAAAATCCAATTGAGTTGAAAAGTAAAATACTTCACTACTGTTCCCCTCTTTTGAATAATTACAATAATGTTAACAATAAATGTTTTTGGAAATTAGAATCCAAATATTTCAAATTCATATGCAAGCTACGAAAACAGTTTGACAGTCTTGCAGGGCTGAAAGAAAACATAGTTCATCAGACCACATATTATTGGATATCCATTTTATTATACTTTTGAAGCATGTGTGTCTTTTCATTCATGCCTGCCATGATCCCAATGCAGCATTTTCCTTTTAATAGATTATTGTTGCTACACAATGTTTATTATCCAGTACAAAATTTGGAGTGATTAGATCCACCAAAACTCTACAGAGCTTACACACACTAGAACAATCTTCCCCCAAATAACACTAGTTTTGGTCTGAAAACTAGTACTCCCAAATCTGCGAGTTACAGACCCAACACTGGAAACAAAGCAGAGAAAACTGCACTTAAAAATTGCAATTATTTCTCTGTATAATTTTTTTTCAGGGCTACTTAATGGAGGTTGCATCATGTTGAAGAACTGCTAATCTTCCCCCTCACCTAACTTACCTTTTCCCTCAGAGCTGTTTTGAGCTAAGTAGCCTGAAACAGTCATCCAAATTATAACTGAATGTTGCTATTGCTACTTTTCACAACTCTGGAAAAGGAAAAAGGTTTGTACTGCCCACACTGACCATCACACCATTGCAATAGACTCCAAATTATCACATGCAATATCCATAAAAACCTAAAATAAAATTATATTGCAAAATCTTATCACAAATTTCTGATGTGACAGCTCATTTTCTCCTTAGTGCTGATCTACAGAAATTACATTTACCTGCTCATCTTTGGAAATAATGTTATAATTATAATTCAATAAAACATTCCATTTTCAAGTAGATCATTTGTTTCTAATGTTGAACAATTTGTGCTGAAAAAAACCAAATACTTAGACTACCAAATTTCAAAAGACTGAGCATTCACTTTTAACAAAAAAAAAATTTGCACATATACAGATAAAGTAACTACAATACTGATAAAAGAACAATAATCACAAAACAATTTTTTTGTTCTTAAATTTCTTCGGTTTCAATTATTTCACTTTTAATTTCTCATAAATTAAAAGGTTTTTTTTAAATTAAGTAAAAGTGCCATTTCAAAATAGGTACCAAAAAGTGGGTTTAGCCTATTTGAATACGACTTAATTCAAGCTAGGATTCAAAAAACATAAAATGAATTCCACAAGTTATGGGCCACAATGCACCGCACATGATAACATGTATCCAAAACAGTAGGCAGATTCAAAATATTGAGGTCTATTATTCAACAAGTATAAGCCATTAATTACTAAGATCTTTAGCAGCTCTTTTGAATCATCAACCCTTGCATGAACCTGAAATATGCTAAAGTCTTTTAACTGATTCCTTGCCTGTTTATACACATCCCATATCTGCATACATAATCTTGGGAGTATTTCTGCAGAAATTTTTCCAAATATGTGAACAGCTAATAAAAACTGTTCTATAAACACCGTTCAGTTTTAGAGAACACTTTTGAAATACTGTAAAGAAATCATTAAATATTTCAACCTATAGGGACAATTAATTCACAGGTAGGCACACTAATCTATCATCCTTCATTTAGTTTGAACATAGTTTACTATAACTGTACCAAGAGACAAGGATTAATCACAATGAAAAAATCTGCAACTTAAGTTGCAGATACCTCTCTTGATAACAGATTTTGTAATGAGTTTTGCAGTACTACCAAACACCCTAAGGTGACTTTAAAATGCTTGAAAAAAGCTGAAATAACACAACTTATTAAAATTGCAAGCTTGGGGTTTTTTGTAGAAATTTCCCTGACTGTTTGAATTACAGCGTTAGTGGAAACAGTATGATCTGTCAGTGAGAGTAACTATGATTATCAAATATATATCCCAGGAAGACACTATGCAAAAATAAAACAGTTTTAAACAGTGCATTTTCTGACATAGTATTACATTCATTTGTCAATGGTTAAGTTTATCTCAACAAACAGAGCCTCAAACTGTATTAACCAGCACTACTAATATTATCAAGTCCTGATTTTGCTTCTAGGAATGATGTAAATTCAACAAAGGAGCAAAATATGAAGATAATCATTGGACAGAGGCACACACAAGGAAAATGTCTTTGAAAAGCTGGCTGTACAACTACCCAGCATTCTTTCTTAGTTCATCTAAAATGTACAGATAGGATCTGCATACAAACTTGAAGTCTGTAGATTAACATTAAGCAATGGAGAGGTTATGACAATTTGTGACACCTCTTCCATGTTATCTTAGGCCTTGAAATATAGAGTGCATTGGAAAAGGCAGTAGTAATTGGAGTGCTGCTTAGGATGGAACCACTTTCTATTCCCCTCAACATCTTCAAAATATGTTGAGTCTCCCGCTCTTCAGAACTGATTTTCAGGACACAGCGGAAGACTGTAGGGACCACCTTATGCAGTGGTGGGATTCAAATAATTTAACAACCGGTTCACCCAGGGTCAGGTTGGCTGTCATGGGAGGCATGGCCAATCCCTGTCCTTCAGTTCCACTGCACATGCAGGATAAACCTCCCGCAACGGCCAACCTGACCCTGGACGAACTATCAAAGTGGATCCAGGACACTGCACTACACTGCAATGGAGAAACAGGCAACGGAACAGCCAGCACGAGGGAAGGGGGAGGAGCAGGGAGAAGAAAGAGAGAAAGCGGTCTTCTCCTTCCCTCGTGCTGGCCGCTCTGTTGCCTGTTTTTCCATTGCAGTGCAGTGCGCAGGATACACTTTGATAGTGGGGTTAATTTAACAACCGGTTCGCTTGAACCAGTGCGAACCGGCTGAATCCCACCACTGATCCTTATCTATAAGCAGAATTCTACTCCCATGATGCTGGATTTCACTCTTCATCTGGGCAGACCTACAATTTTCTTTTTTCTACATGTTTATGAAAATCTGTTCATCTCTCCAACCTACAAAAAACTTCTCCATATCTTGAAGTCACTGTTTCATTTAACAATAAAGGGAACAAATAGAATGGAATTTCCTCTCCAACCTGGGTGAATGTAGACAACTTCCCAGATGTGATGGAACATCTTTGTCAGAGCAGTATGATCCCAACATATCTGGAAAAGAGCTAGGATAATATGATAGAGAGAGAGAGAAAAAAAAAGATGGCGCTGCATCTCCAGCCTTCACTGAAATCATGGCAAGAGGACCTCTGTCTGAATGACACACATCTACACAGGAACACATTTACATAATCACGCAAAGCTGCTGCACTTTCCTTTCAATTAGAAAAAAATCCCCCCTCCCCTTCACAGAGCAGATCTTATAAAAGATATGTAAAATAAATGGAACAATATTCATAAAATAGCTATTACTATGGCAAAACTTTTGTCAATAAGCCTCCAGAACTTTAAATGAGGAAAATGGCTTCACAAAATGATAGTCCAAATTTCCACAGTGTGGACACTGCTGAACGTTGCTGTATTCTGAGAAATACTGCATCCCAATACGTACATCTATAACAGGTTTCCCACAGTGTTTACAGTTCAGCCGAGCCTGTAATAGAGGAGACAGACAGAAAAAAAGAGAACAGAATTTCAAAAATCTCATAATTGGCTTCCACTGTCCATCAAACCCTATCATGCTCGTTTGTTTTATTCTTACTGAATACGCCTTGTGATTATAGCCTGATGGGCCAATTCCTACTACAGCTTCTACTTGGGAAAGCTTGCCTGAATAATAAAATGTGTAACATCAATCTCTTGTGTCTGTAGAATCAGCTATTAATGTGTTTTTGTAGATTAAAAAAATGAATCAGTTACCTAGAGAGGATTGCATTTTACAATGCCTACATTGTATGCATAGATTTCCTCTCTAGGTATATCAGACAAAAATGGAAGGCAAGGATTAAATCTAGAGGATTTGGTGCTTTTGATTCATTTTATCTTAACATCTGGCCAATATGACCCTGAAGTATTGAAACTGTTCCTCTAGGAGGGCATTTCCAGGAGATAGAACAGCATTGCACCACCAGCTTCATCTTTATCTCAATGCACACTGAGATAATGACAGTGCTATCTTCTCTATGTGTACATGCAATTCCATACTAGATGCTGTTTAATGAAGATGTAGATAACAAACACATAAATTCTTCTTAATCATTAGCTGCAGTGCTCTGATAGTCACATGGGCCTCTCATCCCTGTGAATGGGAGCCAGTACTGAAAGAAGGGTATTGTTGAAAAATGCTCAGCCAGGTAGAGTGAAGGTTCAAGCAGAGAATTAGTCTTGAATCATTGCACAGCTAGAAGACATCCAGGACTGACTCCTCCCCACCCAAGCCTCACAAGCCTTATCTATTTGTTCCCAAAGGAAGGCAAGCAATCTAGCGAAATTCCTGTATTATAGGCAGAATACAATAAAATAGTTAGCCTGAACTCTAGCCATGTGGATCTAATTGCTTGCACCTGATCGGTACTGCTGGCTACTATGTGCTTTTGGAAGAGAAACAACATCCACCAGAGAATCATGAATGTATCCTCATCCATGAAATAGTGTATAGACAGCTATCACTATATCTCGGATGCTTGCCAAGACCGTGGAACATAATTTACTAAAATATAAACTCTTTCATAATACTAACCTGACAACAAGGAGAAGCTGCTAGAATGTCATAAGTATACATGGTTCCCAGCTGATGCCAGCTTCCATCCCACCGAGATTTGCACTTTATGCAGATAATTTTATGAACCCCTTCTAAACAGTCTACACAAACAGCATATAGGTGCATAAGCCTTCCTGTGGAGAGAGATTTGTAAAAACAGAATATATCAAATGGATCATACATTAACAGAATTGTGAATGGCCTTTTTATTAGAATATGCAAGAAATGAAGCATGCATTCAGCAAACATTATGTTTCTAGCCATCTTCTGTCCAAATACCATTAAAGGAGGAAAGTCTATTTCATTCAGAATTACATTCCTAACTTCAAATGCAAATTATTCTTTCATTACTAGTTTTATCTAATGCTAACAGTCCGCAGTCAATCGGTATTAGTTAGCTTCTAAATAGAGGATTGTTGGAGTTTAGGTTGTAAAATTCAGTCTTTAAAAATTCAAAATTGATTTTTAATTAAAGTACAAATCAACTATACTAAATCTAACACATGATCAATATGAGTAGCTCATTTGTCACATCAGAATGAACAAGACAAGCATTCCAATTTTCAGTTCAACTAAGAAGCTTAACAAATAACTTTAGAGAATTACTATTGTACTACAGAGTTACTCTCAGCTGCATATCACATGCTTCAGAGGGGAGGATGGGCTCTTTGCTACTGTAAATTCATAATAGATTTTTGCTTCATGTGCAAAGCAAAAGTAGAACCCACAGCTTAATTAGGTATCTCCATATATTTAATTTCCTTCCAGTTATTATTTCATAAACATCTACAGTATTTACACATGTGAATAAAAGTCATATATGATTATCCTTTTTTTGGCAAAAGAATATATCACACAAACTTCTTTGAGAAGAAGTCAGGAAAAACAGATTCTTCTCAACAGGAAATGCAGGCTTTTTCAAATCATGAAGTCTCTGCTATAACTCAGTCTCAGGAAAGAGTTCAAATTGCTACATGAATACATTTCCGCACTCTGCATAAATATAGAAAAGATTCCAGTGTGAAAGGAGGAAGGCAGAATTATACTATAGCAATTGTGCTTAACTCATAATATACAAAATGGAAAAACAAACTTCCTACAGTATATATTTGTTTAGGAGAAGCTCCCCATTTCATGCAGTTTTCACCTGGAAAAATATTAGAAAATGTGAGATAACTGTCTCATCAGAGATGGATACTAGCTAGCCCAATTTAGGTACTTACCTGGATCTTATATGGTGCTAATCCATACCATAGTTTATTTAATTATTATTTGACTAAATCACAGTTCAAAGCTTATGTCAAAGTTTACAAACCAACTGGATTAATAACACATAGGTGTATTGGTGCATTGTATGTTTGGTTTGGTTTTAGCTTAATATTGTGTGAGCCCAAACACATTATTCTAATCCTTATAGGATGACTATGAACAAGCTCATTATCCTTTCCTCTCATTTATAAATCATCATTTATAAATCATCCATTTTTAACTTACAATAATTATGTTTATTGAGTAAGCACTAGTAAATACCAATCTCCAAGCTAATTTTCAAAACTCTTTAAAGCAGGGGTCTCCAACCTTGGCAACCTTAAGACTTGTGGACTTTAATTCCCAGAAATCCTCAGCCAACTTTGGGAGTTGAAGTCCACAAATCTTAAAGTTGCCAAGGCTGGAGACCCCTGCTTTAAACTTCTTATTCCTTAACCCAGTTTATTCTCAACTAAATTTCATGTGATATCTAAATCAAGGGTGCTACAGAAATTATCAGTTATGGAATGGAGGCAGGAATTGCATGGAAGGACAATCCAAAGTGAGCCTGTAGTACTCTTCAAACTATGATTTGTAAGTACCTGATAGGGGAATTAGATAGCACTCTCCTCTGCCCAACAGCTGGGATCACCTACCTGTATAAATATTTAGCATGACTATATTCCAGTCCTTCATCTATTCCCACTTCTGCAATTTTAACTTCTCTCCCTGCTAGGTAAGATGAGAAACAAGTTTACAGACTCCTCCCCCTCCCTTATTTGTATATATAAAAATTTATATATTTATAAATTTATGTACAGGTGGTCCTCAATTTACAACAGTTCACTTAGTGACTGTTCGAAGTTACCATGGCACTGAAAAAAGTGACTTATGCATGGTCACGTGATTTACATTCGGATGCTTGACAACTGACTCACATTTATTACGTTTGCAATGTCCCGGAGGTCATGTGTTCATCTTTTGTGTCCTTCCCCCTTCAATGGGGAAGCCAGATTTACTTAACAACTGTGTTAACAACTCCAGTGATTCACTTAACAAATGTGGCAAGAAAAGTTGTAAAATGGAGCAAAACTCACTTAACAAAATTCTCACTTAGCAACAGAAATTCTGGGCTCAATTGTGTTCGTAAGTCGAGGACTATCTGTATTTGTATATACAAAGCGTTTGTCATTATTTTGGAAAATTTCCTGAGGCCTCATTATTTTTATGCTTTTAGATTAAATTATTATGCTTTTAAGATTAAATTTCCCAGGTTTAACAGTGATCAGAATGGCTTCTTTAAATTCATACTGAGAAATGATAGGGCTGCCAAATCTGGATAGCAAGTGGTCCAATTACCACTAGAGGCAGTGGTGGGATTCAGCCAGTTCGCACCTATTCGGGAGAACTGATAGTTAACTTTCTAAGCAGTTTGGAGAACCGGTTGTTGGAAGAAATCTTATTTTGTTTTTTTCCACTTTACAGAACTAATCCTGTAAGGAAGGCAGGAAGGAAACATTCTGGTGGTGTTTCTAGCCTAATCTTTATTGCCCTGCTTACAGAAACTGTCTCTCTGGTTAACCCTTATTACATTGTAACAGCTAAGGCGAAGCGCCCATTGACATGAGTAAGGTTGAGTTGGCCACGCCCACAGTCACATGACCACCGAGCTACGCCTACCTAGCTGTTCATTAGGGCAGAGAACCAGTTGTTAAATTATGGCCACTGACTACAGGGTAACATTCCAATTCTACTTCCCAGATTTTTGCAGTTCAGTTCTGATAGCATCAAATTTGGGAACTAAAGCCTACGAATACCCAGAAGCCCTAATATCCATAATTAAGCAACCTCAGGGTGGCAAAATGAAAGACAGGAAATACAGGAAGTCCCTGATTTACAATCATTCATTTAGCAACCATTCAAAGTTACAATGGCACTTTAAAAAGTGACTTTTGATCAGCCCTCACACTTATGACCACTGCAGCATCCCAATGGTCACAACAATCAAAATTTGGGTGTTTTGCAACCCACATGTATTTATGATCATTGCAGGGTTTTTAAATCACCATTTGCAGCGTTCCCAGCTGCAGTTAATGGAGGAAGCCAAATTCACTTAGCAATCATATGACTCATTTAACAACTGCTGTGAGTCACAACTTGGCACAAAGCTCATAAAATTGGACGCAACTCACTTAAGAACTGCCTTGTTTACTGATAGAAATTCTAGTCCAAATAAGTCAAGGGCTCTTTGTAAAAACAACTGCTGCTGCTGCGTTGCTTATAAAATCTTTCAAATAGTCAAAAAAAGTGTTTTTAATAAATATACAGTATCACTAACTTGGTTGTAACCAATATAATACTATAAAAATGTACAAGAGTTGGTATGGTTCTATTGGTAACTACTTAAGTATCAAAACAGCTCATACAGTTGCCAAAATGAAAAGTGTAATCTCAGTTGTGAAACAGCTTGTGGAATAAATTGCACAAGCATAATTAAATATTGGCCTGAACATTTCTACAAGGATAATTTGTGCACTATCAGAATAGCACAATTGTATTGTGTAATCTTGACTGTTTGGGATATTTCTTTAAGGAAAACTCTAAGCAGGGTATATGCAGAATTAAAATTCTGCAGTGCTCTTTTAAAAATACAATCACATCAAGAAACACAAAACACGATTTGATTCCAATACATTGGCTACTGCAAATCAACAGCTGATAACAAGAAAATATGTGAACACAATGCACATTATTTGCACATTATTCGTAGTCATCATATACCTCAGCAATGAAACAAATGCAATCATGCCAGTCAGTATTTTTCACACTCATTATAACCAAACTATGACTGTGCTTTGTTTTTAAAGGGTTTTTTTCCTGACTTTTCTTTTAAAAATACTGCATCTAGGCTACAAAATAGGCTTATTCTGGAACTCAGCATCTGTTTTGATGATTTATTACCAATGCAGAACAAAACATAAATTAAGGCTTATTCAGTTAAATAGCCAATTATGCAATTTGGGCTACAATCCATATTATTACTTTTCTTCTTATCCAAGAGCAGTAGACAAAATAAACCTTTAAAACTATTAAGTAAAAAGAGTACCAATGCAGACATCAACCACAGAAAACCCTAAAATAATTAAAATACAGTCATTTAAAAACAAAGTTCATTTGAAAATAAATCTCAAAGACAGTGTGGTCCTGGAAGTATTACTATGACTTACTACAATGGGCAAATACAGAGAAGATGTACATATCATGCTAAATTCTAATGTGTATGATTTTGGGCCTGTTGACATGCATGGGTATTCTTAGCTACAGGGGTTTGCAAACCATCAATGCAAAGGATGAGCAATCTTAATGTTGTGGGACTCTGTATGTTGCAAAGTAAGAAAGGCTGGGTTTTGGAAGAGACTCTGTATTTCTAAATTGTGTCAAAATTATGTAGACTTATCTATAGTTTTGTGTTTTACCACTTTAAAATAGTAAATCATGTTTTCACTTTTCAGCAATCATGCCCAATGAAGACAGCAAAAGAGGGATTTGAAATTGAACTCTCTTGATTTATGGCTTATCAGGCAATCAGCTCATTCAAAGTGAACCCACCCATCAATCTTGCCTCAATTATCTTCTGGTGGGTTGCATTGGGCTCTGGATTTGCATTACAAGAAGTATTCTCAGTCAGTGATGGACCATGTTTTCTTCCCATATTAGAAAACCCAAACTCTAAGTTATGCTTAATGTTAATTTTAGTTAGCATAAATAAGCCACTCTTGTAATTTACAATGTTAGATTGGCTTGTTTCCATTAATTTCAGTTTTATCTTTCAAATCAAAATTTAATTTATTTTATCAATTTAATTTTATTATTAATTTTAATGATCTAATTTATGCAGCAGTTCTGTTAATTCTTCTCATCTAATCCTTTTCTTCCTCTAAGCCGGTGATGGCGAACCTATGGCACGCATGCCCAAAGTGGCACGCAGAGACGTGTCACCTGGCACGCGTGGCATCGCCTGTTCCTCTTCTGGGTTTCTGGCGCGCATGTGCATGTGACAATCAACTAGCCTTTTTGCATGCGGCAGTGCTGGAAACTGGAAGAGCTGGTCTTCCGTTTTCCTACATGAGCATGTGCGCCGGCCAGCTGATTGACGCGTGCACATATGCGCTAGAAACCTGGAAGAATAGCTGGCTGAAACCAGATGCTCAGTAGCTGAAACTGGAAGTTCATTTTTGGATGTGCGCATGCGCCCTGGGCAGCTCCTCTTCTGGGTTGCGGCCCAGACGCTTGTGCACTCCCTTTTCGGCACTTGGTCACTGCTCTAAGCCCAGAAGATACCAACAATGTTAGAGAGGTTTCTAATCATAATTTGCCTTTCTAGCCTGATTGCTTTTGTCTTTGTCTAAATTTCTTATCAGAAAACTTCCTAACAGCAAAGCTTCAATAATGTAAAAGTATTATTACAGTTCTGAACCTATTTAGTGACCAGCGCTGAAAAAAGTTACTTGCAATCAATCTTCACACTTACAACTGGCATAGCATCCAAATGATCATGTGATCAAATTTCAGGCAGTTGACAAGTGGCATGCATTTATGACAGCTGCACTGTCCCAGAGTGCAAATGATCACCCTTTGTAACCTTCTCAGCCAACTTCCGACAAAGTCAATAGAGGAAATCAGATTTGCTTAATGAGCACATGATTCACTAAACAAATGCAGTGATTTGCTTAACAACTGTGGCAAAAGAGCCTTGGTAGCACAGTGGACTAATGCACTGTTATTAACATCTGCTGCTTGCAATTATTGCAAGTTCAAATCTCACTAGGCTCAAGGTTGACTCAGCCTTCCATCCTTTCAAAGTAGGTAAAATGAGGACCCAGATTGTGCGGGCAATAAGCTGACTTTGTATAAATATATAAAAGTATGAAGGCTATTGCTTAATGCATTGTAAGCCGTCCTGAGTCTCCAGAGAAGGGCGGCATATAAATTAAAGCAAAAAAAAAAAAAAAAGAGTCATAAAATGGGACACTCACTTAACAACTGTCTGGTTCGCAACAGAAAATTTGGGCTCAATAATGTTCCTAAATCAAAGATTACCTATATAGGTAGTCCTCGATTAATGATCACAATTGGATCCTGAATTTCTGTTGCAAGGTCTCTATTGAGTCATTACCAATTTTAATGACTTTTTTTGCCATGGTTAAGTAAACCACTTCAGTTGTTAAGTGAATCACATGGGTTTCCCCTTGACTCTGCTTCTCAGAAGTTGGCTGGAAAAGTTGTAAATGGCAATCATATGACCCCAACACCCTGCAACCGTCGTAAATATATGCCACTTTACCAAGTGCCCAAATTTTGATCACATCAGTGGTGGGTTCCTCCCGGTTCGGCCAAGCCGGTAGCGGTGACGATATGATGTCATCGAACCGGCTCTCTTTGTTCGAGAGCTGGGCTCTCCCGCCCCCCTCCACCCATCCCCCGCATTCTTACCTTTTATTTGGCCCTGCCCCCAATCTATTGCTGCATACATATTCTTTGCTAAAAGTACCGTACTTTTCGGAGTATAAAATGCCTTTTCCCCCCCTAAAAGAAGGTGGAAATGTTGGTGCGTCTTATACACCGAATACAGCCTCCCGAAACCCCGCCCTGCGTGTCCCATTTTTGCCAAAAACAGGCCAGTTTTTCACAGAAATGGGGTGCGCAGAGGGTTTGGGAGGCAAAAAATGGCCTCCCAAACCCTCCTGTTTCTAACAAACACAGGATGCACAGAGGGTTTGGGAAGCCTGCAGAGTGCTCCTGGGGGCCAGAGAGGGCAAAAACTTTTTTTTTCTTGTTTTCCTCTTCGAAATCTTGGTGTGTCTTATACTCCAGTGCGTCTTATAGTCCAAAAAATATGGTATATTTCTTCTGCCAAGCTATTTTCACATAGAAGGGACAGTTGAAATTGTATTAAGCTTTTATTATGGCCTGTTGTACTAGCCTTCATCTATCTGAGCATCTTCACATTGTATGAATATTTCCACATTTTTCAGCAATAGCCTTGCTGGCTGGGAATTCAGGAAACTGAATTCCACATATTTGGGAATAATGCCCAGGATGGAAAACGCTAATGTAGACTGCCTTCCAAAAATGCAAGATATTAATAGAAATTATAGACTTTAGTTATGCCATTTAAGAAATAGCCAATAAATTTAATAAATAAACAAAACAAAACAAAAATAAAAGCAACCTGTACCTTGAAGGTGACAGGGAACATCATACTCAATTTCATCATGTCTTGATGGACTAAGAAACAAAGTTCCATCCACCAGTGGAAACTGTTCAAATACAGGCAATGCTCTATGGCATAACGCACAGTTGACAACATTTCGATGACTGGCACTGAGTGCTGCAAGAATGAATTTACGTAAATCTTCTCCTTGACCCACTTGGGCATCATCCTCCATACGGACATGGAAAGTGTTCAATTTATGCCTAGGTATGTGAGCAAGGAGTTCAGATAGATCAAGCCTTCTCAAAAATTGTACTGGAGCATCAAAATGTCCTGATCTATGTGCTTGTAATCCTGATGTCCCATAATCAAAGTGAGCATTTCTAAACATACCACTATTGGTCATATTCTTTCTATGAGGTTCTAAATGGATGGCATTCTTCAAAAATTCTCCTAAATATCGTGAAGAGCGGGGTCCACTGAAATGGGTGGGGGCAAGAACAGAATAACCTGCAGGGGGGGACTGTCCAGGAGAACCACAGGGAGAACGGACGGCATAGCTACCGCAAGCAGTGCCTTTCTCTTGAGAGTTCTGCCTATCCATTGAATGCCGTCGTTGAAGATCATGGTTTAAACCTTTCTGTGGTTTGTTAGCAGACCTGCACTTTTTAAGATCTTCTGAAGACTCAGATGTTGATCTTCCACTGCTTTTTTCAGACCCTGATTTTTTCTTCTTTTCATCTTGCATTCGTTTTACTTGGTACCAATCTGTGTCTTTTTTTAAATGGCCTTGTCCACATCGACATGAACAAAAACGGAAGGCAAGATCATATCCTTTCTTGGTCCACATATTTTGCCGACACTGTTTCTCGTTCCAACTCCTTGCTCTTCCGATGCAATTAAATTGAGCCAGAATGCTGCTCTCCCATTCGTAAAAACACTGAAGATGCATCCAAGTGCTGTAGGGACAATGCTCGTTGTTGCAAACAACTTTCTGGTAGTCATCTTTTTCTAGGTCAACGGGCCGTCCAAAGCTACACAACAGTGGTGTAGCACAAGGTGCTTCTGTGGAATGCAGAAAAGAGAGGCAGATGAGCTATATGATTCAAAATTAACTGCTTGGTATATTTATTTTAGTATAACAGAACTATGCTAAACTAGAATCCAGGAGTTCTAAGCACATATGTAGTACATTTAAACTATGCTGTGAACTGAGATTCCATATGTCACTAGTATTTTCCTTTATAAATGAGCATAGTAAGTCTTATATTCCAGAGTCAAAAATTAAAATGGTCTTTGATATATTTGAAGAACTTCAATAACTGTTACGGTTGAGAAATACACCTTTTGATTAACAAAGATTTCTAAGTGCAAAGCCTTAGTAGGTTAGCTTTCAGGAATTTAAACCTTCTGATATGGCAAAAGAGATATTTTTAGAGAGAATGATACAAATTACGGTAGGCTATAAATAGGGCTAAATATTTAGCCTTAATATTTGGAAGCATAACCAATTCTCCTGAACCCCAGAACAAGAACACAACATTTGAAATCCCAAAACAACCATTTTAAGAAAGCACAGATTTCAGGAAACAATATGCGACAACCAAAGCAATAAAATTAGAATCAATTATCTGCATATACTTGGAATGCTTTGATTGGAAAATCCATATTTTCTTTTTTCATACTTAATTACTAGTGAATTCCATAACATAATTACCAAGAATAATTACCTACACAAATTATTGTGAGGCATGTGAATCTAAAGTAATTATACTGTAAATTATACATTTTTAACTAGAAATAAAGATGATACTCTCCACACTGAAACAGTCATTAATAAATATATTAAAAAACAGTGGTGCAAGAATAAAGTCTACTTGATAATGACTGAAATACTAACAGAGGCTGGACCATTATATTATCATCTCATTTATATATTATGATTGGAATAGAATTTTATATTAAGATCAAACAATACTGACCCACACTGGAGTTATTTAAATTAATCAAAGTCAACTGCCATCAGTGAAGTCAATCAAGCAACATAAAATTTTTATTTCATATTCCCATACATTAACCCTCTGAGCCAAGTGAAACAATGATCAAATGAAGAACACTGAACTCTATAATGAGTTTTTTCTTCCAAAATACCATTTTGGACAACCATTCTCCAATTTGAAGCAATAAATGCTTCACATTTCATTTAGCAGCTACACATATAAAATTGGTCTGTAATTAAATGGACAATTATGATTCTTTTTATTAAAAATTAGAAGAATACAATACTCGCATTTTATCCTTTAGAAAGCTAGCCAGATGAATTTAAAATCCTTAGAATGATTAAAATCTGCCATTCAGAATTAACATGTTTAGTCAGACAAGTTGCCTACTTTAATGATTAAAATTAATTGCTTGTAAAATAAGGTATCCCGTTTATAGAATTAACTGATTCTCATCTGCTCTCTCATGCATAAACTATTCACAAAAAGAAATATACAATGTACAAGCTTCTTTCTTCCAACAGAACAGTAAAAACGGGAAAGAAAAAAAAGAAAAGAAAAACGGTATGGAAATGTGGAAGGGGAAAAGTAGTTCTACAGGAAGGAAAAAGAAAAGTATGGAAACTGAAGATAAGGAGCAGGGAAGAAGTAACTAGACAGAGAAGAGAAAAAAATATGGAAACCTTAGATGCAGCATATAAGAAACCAGATCACTGAAACAACCAATCAAGTGAACCAATCAGCTTCTCAGAATTTAAATACAGCACCAAACAAACAGCCAATCACACGATCAACTGACCACACTGGCACACAAGACATATATAATAAGCTAAAGAGGAATAGGACAATAGTTCTACAAAACTCCCGCTGGTGATGTTACCTAGCCTTATAACAAAACATTCAGGAATTAAATGGCAAGTTCGGAAAACAAACCACTGCCAAGATCTAAAACCCGTTCCTATCTCTGTTCTAATTTCTCTTCCTGCCACCATTATAAAAAAAGGAAAGAAAAAGGGGAAATAAAGTTATTTTCTTTCTTCTTTTTCCTATCCGCCTTCTATCCATCATTTCTTGCCTGCATCAGGCAAGAGAGCTGTGACTCTCCGAGACCTTGCAGGGCGTCCCTCTTTGCTTCACCGCCCCTCCAAGGCAGCTCTGGCTCATTTCGGAGCCCACCAACTCGGCACAGAAACGTGGAGACCAGCTTTCCATGTCCGATCTCACCGCGACGTCAACAGGAAGTCTTATCAACAGAAATTTGAGGCTCAATTATAGTTATAAATCAAGAACTGCCTGTATCCCATTTATTTTCACATATAAGATCATCTACAGATAAACAAACTCTTACATTTTTAACTGAAAAATGTGCTACTTGTGGATTATCCAATTATGAAAATTAAAATTTACAAAAATTCCAAAGAGTGACTTATTTATTTATTTTATTTTTCAGATTTCTATATGGCCCTTCTCCTTTCGGACTCAGGGCGGTGAACAGCCAAAGTAAAACACTTTATACACAAAAGTTAAAATAGATTTAAAATAATTAAATAAATTTGGCCCATAATTTAAAACATTTCAATTTAAAACCAATTTCAAATTTTAAAAACCCATCATAAAATCAGGACAGCCTGGCTAACTGAAAGAAGTAGGTTTTAAGGGCCCGACCTATCCTCAGGTGGCATTTTTCATGGCTTTTTGTTTAAAAATTTGTTGGTCAATTTATTTGTGCATAGGTTTACATATAACAGTAATAATTTTCTTCTTCCATTAGGCAAACAATTGCAAAATCTGTAGCTACTCTTGGAGGGGTTCTGGCTAGCCAATCAAAGCCTTTGTGGGAACAATATACTGCATGTTGCTATGCACCTCTACCCTAGAAAACCATTTCAGTGTTGGACCTAATATCTGCAACAGCTCTCCAAGGCTGGAAATGTAATTCAACCAACTTCCTGTTCTCTATGATATATTTCAGGAAATGTGTAAGTCACTTCTGAAATGCCAAGGTCAATCTGTACCAAGTAAAAGCACAACATTCCAAAGCTGAATCACTCAACTTTGGACAAATAATTTTGTGGCTAAACTGAAAATACATTGTTCTGTTTTCAATATCATGAAATTAGCAATAAATCTTAAATCTGTCTTAACCAATTTTTGCACATAGGATTACCATTCTGTTCATGCATGGATGATAGTCTCACCCATTTGCATAATGCCAGAGTTACATAAGTCAACACTTACATAACTTGGGAATTGCCTTTATATTACAGTTTGTGATAAAAATATGTATCAATCTTATATATAAATAAAAATGTAAATGTTCATTTGTTCAAAATAGTAAATCTCCGAAAGTTCTTTACCGATTGCTTTGAAATTTTGACACAACATTGCATTCAAATACGCACGTGTTTTTATATACCTATATTATATACATGTCACACCTGTGACAGGTAAAAACATGCTTTCTTGAAAAACAGCGCCATCTGCTGGACGTAAAAGCAACACACGCTATACTAAATATTTTACACTTCCATTTCAATGTTTCCGATTTACGATCCATTTACGATTTCCAAATTTCCAATTTTACGATTCCATTTCAATGTTTCCGATTGCATTGTTAAATTGAATTTTCATAGATTTCGATTTATTTTCATTTTGATTTAATTATTTCGTACGACATTGCGTTGGAATTGAGCTGTGCCGTATCCCTCTGTAGCTCAGGTCATGCCTACTTTGCGTCCGTCCCACCAGTCTTTTCACTCGGTCGATTGGATTCAGACCTGAGTTGCCTTTCTCTACGTTTCTTTTTGGACTTTATCATCGCAACACCACAATGGCAGGCGCGAGCTGGGTCTTTTCCCCTCAGCGCCGCCACCGCCAAACCCACAAGCAAAATGGCGGGAAATGTCAACCGCCGCGAAGCGTCCTCCCAACTAACGGAGTATGCCGTACCTTTGGCAGGGACCCCGATGCCGCCTGTGGTGCAGAGAGCTGCGAAGGTGAAGGTGGTTATACCGGCAAGCCGGGAAACCAGCTCTTACACCCACGGCAAAGTATCCTCGGAGGCGTCCAGAGACAAACCTCTGGAGCCCCAGGAACGCAAACTCACCGACGGCAGCCCGGACGGAGGCCTCCGCCAATCCCACGACGTGCAGCTCTCCCAATATATTTATTTATTTATTTATTTGTTTAAATTTCTATACCGCCCTTCTCCAATGTAGGACTCAGGGCGGTGAACAGCCAAAGTAAAAACAAGACATACATACAAAACATACAAAATCTAAAAACTGTTTAAAATAATTAAATAATTTTGGCCGTAATTAAAACATTCCAATTTAAAATCCGTTTAAAATTTGACTCAAGCCAGCCCAGCTAGTTGAAATAAATGGGTTTTTAGGGCCCGACGAAAAATCCGGAGGTCTGTTATTGTACGTAGCTCTGGGGGGAGGTTGTTCCAGAGGGCGGGCGCCGCCACAGAGAAGGCTCTCCCCCTGGGGGTCGCCAGCCGACATTGTCTGGCGGACGGCACCCTGAGGAGGCCCACTCTGTGGGAGCGTACTGGCCGGTGGGAGGCTATTGGTGGCAGAAGGCGGTCTCGTAAGTACCCCGGCCCTAAGCCATGGAGCGCTTTAAAGGTGGTCACCAACACCTTGAAGCGCACCCAGAAGACCACCGGGAGCCAGTGCAGCTCGCGCAGGAGAGGTGTCACGTGGGAGCGCCTCGTCGCCCCCAAAATCCCCCGCGCGGCCGCGTTCTGGACCAGCTGGAGCCTCCGGGTGCACCCCAGGGGGAGCCCCATGTAGAGAGCGTTGCAGTAGTCCAGGCGGGAAGTGACGAGTGCCTGAGTGACTGTGCGTAGGGAGTCCCAATCTAGAAAGGGGCGCAACTGGCGTATCAGGCGGACCTGATAAAAAGCCCCCCTGGCCACGGCCGCCAAATGATCTTCTAACGACAGCCGTGCGTCCAGGAGGACGCCCAAGTTACGAGCCCTCTCCGTGGGGGCGAGTGATTCGCCCCCAATAGCCAGCGATGGCGTCAGCTGGCCATATCGGGACGCCGGAAGCCACAGCCACTCGGTCTTGGAGGGGTTGAGTTGGAGCCTGTTTCTCCCCATCCAGGCCCGCACGGCCTCCAGGCACTGGGACATCACTTTAAGGGCATCATTGGGGTGGCCTGGGGTGGAGATGTACAGCTGGGTGTCATCAGCGTACTGATGGAACTCCACCCCGAAGCCACGGATGATCTCACCCAGCGGCTTTACATAAATGTTGAACAGAAGGGGCGAGAGGACCGACCCTTGTGGCACCCCACAAGCAAGGTGCCTCGGGGTCGACCGCTGCCCCCCTGTCAACACAGATTGCGACCGGTCAGAGAGGTAGGAGGAGAACCACCGCAAAACAGTGCCTCCCACCCCCAACCCCGCCAACCGGTGCAACATGATACCATGGTCGATGGTATCAAAAGCCGCTGAGAGGTCTAACAGGACCAGGATAGAGGAGCAACCCCTATCCCGGGCCCTCCAGAGATCATCCACCAATGCGACCAATGCCGTTTCCGTGCTGTGCCCAGGCCGGAAGCCGGACTGGAGCGGGTCTAGATAGACAGCTTCATCCAGGTACCGGGGAAGCTGTTGCGCCACCACACTCTCAACAACCTTCGCAATGAAGCGAAGGTTGGAGACTGGACGATAGTTAGCCAAAACAGCCGGATCCAGAGAAGGCTTCTTGAGGAGGGGCCTCACCACCGCTTCTTTCAAAGCGGCCGGCAGGACCCCCTCACTCAAAGAAGCGTTAACAATCTTCTGGAGCCAGCCTCGTGTCACCTCCCGGGAAGCCAGTACCAACCAGGAGGGACACGGGTCCAATAAACATGTGGTCGCGTTCAGCCGTCCCAGGACCCTGTCCATGTCCTCGGGAGCCACAGGATCGAACTCCCCCCAGATAACACTCTCAAGACCTGCCTCAGTCATCCCGTCATAAGCACCTATATAGGTAAAAGTCCAAGAAAGCAATTGATTAAGCGACGTTAAAGTCCAAAAAGAAATGTAGAGAAAGGCAACTTAGGTCTGAATCCAATCGACTGAGTGAAAAGACTGGTGGGACGGAGGCAAAGTAGGCATGACCTGAGCTACAGAGGGACATTATTGGCACTGGGTCAAAAAATATCGTATACCCACAAGATTGGGCCACAGCAACACGTGGCCGGGTACAGCTAGTTTTCATAATAAAATCAAGAAACATAATGAACACAGAAAGCATATTTTTATGTAATTTATACAGTCAAATATTGTGGGTCTGGGTTCTTTCACCAAAAAGACAAGCAAACTTTACCTATTTGGATATTTTCAGTTTTGCAATATTATGAAAGAATTCTGATGAAAGAATTAGCAAGTCTTCACATGCTCACTTTACTCCAACATATCTCCAACAACTAATTTGAACATGTTGGTGCAGCCATTTCAAAGGCCTGTACTACTTTTGAACCATTTGCAAATATTTAATTGACATGCCTGTGTATGCTTCAAAAATTATTTTGAATAAGTTTTTGTAATTCACATTGCTGTTAATTAAAGCACATGTCATTTTCTTTCAGATACTGTCTCTTTAAAAGTAATGCAATTCAAAAAGAGTCGTGCAAAGCTCTATTAGATGACATACTGTACAAGCTTTTCATATGCAAGGGAGCTTATAGAAAATGGGTTGGATAGAAAAAATTAAGTGATTATAAACCTAAGTAATAGGATTATACAATATGCAGGTAGCTGCACATATAAATTACATTTGAGCTTATAAAATACAAAATTATAATTTCCAAATAAAGAAATTAAATCATACTACTGTATAACTCCATTCTCCACAAGTTACCTCAGGGACAAGTTATGAGTTTTTAGAACTATGTTCACTTAAATACAGAAAATTAATTATTCTTGCAAATTAAGAATTACTTTTAAAAAATTAAACATCTTCCAATAAATTCCTAGATTTAAGAAACGTAGATCATACAATATATTCTTACAGAAATCACAAGTAATACATTAAATATTTGGGACAGCAGTATTAAGCAAGATAATAACACTGATTTATCTCACTTGTCTTATAAGTTAAATAGATTTATGTATTGAAACTCTTATTTCAAACTTGTGCTACATATTCTTACAACTCTCTCTCAAGTAATTATGCAAGATTTAATTTATAGTCGCTTTGATCCAGTACCAATTACCTTCCCACTAATCAGGTTCTAGACCTACAGCCAGGACATACTTCCCCATCTCCTCTGTAAATACAATTCATAATACTAAAAAGGCACATTTTGTACTAAAAAAAAACCATAAAACAATTTTTTTAAATACAAGTCTGTTCCAGAAAAATATATTAATTTCCTTGACATTCTGAGTCATGGTCTTTGAAATCAAGATAGTTGGAAAAACAAATGGATTTGATCTCCTCCTGATTTGTTTTTAATATGTTTCCATTTCAAATATTTTTATGACAATATTTTTATATGTATTTTGTCTGCTATGAAAAGTAGCAGCTTCTTGCAGAATGCAATCTGGAATTCTCAGGATTCCACCAAGTCTGAAAGGGTCACACAAGTATTTTGATAACTTTCATGTATCTTCCATGTATCTTCCAAAGCCACGTTGGCCACATTTCAGTATATTTCTTCTATAAAATTAGTCATAAAATTAAACAGAAAAAGTTCCAGTTATATCAAAGCTGTTACAATAACATCTTTCAAACTGAAAAGAGTTTGACTACAGTAACTACGGACAGCAACTGCTTGATGATTAGCCAAGAATCCCTGAGTCCTCTGATTTTAAAAGATTTAACAGTATACAGAGATTTAATATTTTTAAACCCTCTTTATGTTTTTGTCGGTTAACAAATAAGGTGCCAATGTCTGGGAATAAATCCTTACTAAGATATAAAAGTAGTTCTCCATACATTATTAGACCTCATCCAAATGTGCTGAACATCAGCATGTGTCCTAAATTTAGTACAAAATATCAGATTGCTACATTTCGTCACTAGCAGGCATTGCGCCGGAAGTTATTCCTAGGAGACTGCAGAATTTAAATTTTGTTTTGCTATGAACAGAAGACTGTATTTTCAGATGCATGGCCTCTATTTCACTGTCATACGCAGAGACAAAACACATATTATTTCAAATTCCTCAGAGATCATTATTTACCCAAGTATTTGCAGTGTTTTGCACATTCCAGCAAGGACTAGCACAAAAATAAGAATTCTCTGGTGAAAATGCTCTCATAACATTTTTCAAACACAAAGCAAAACAAAAAAGCTTGTTCTTATAACACCAATACACAAAACTAACCTGGCAACCACCAAAAGAAAGCAGGGAAATGTTTCACACCTGCCAATTTTTTTTAATATTGGGTACTTACATTCCGTGCTCACAAAATAGGCGCCGAGTTTAAAGAGAAAAAGAGGGAAGCTGAAGCATTTGAAAAGCTCATAAAATGATTAATAGATTTCCCCCCCACACACACTTTCTCTAACTTATTTCAGTGGAGACAGTGAAGAGCAGGGAGGACAATATTTTTGTTTCACTTTATTTTAGGTCGAGTAGGCAGGTTGATAGAGTGAGATGATGGCACAGCTGCAGCTAAGCTCTGCTACCCTGCAAACTATCCTGTGGCAAATATAGAAGACTGTCATCAGCAGTCTGTTCTGTCTTTAAAAAAAATAGAAAGATCTAGCCATTATAACTCTGATATCTGAATAAAGCTGAGAGGGGTCATTCCCCACAGACACTAAGCTCACAATTGTGTGGGACATGAAGGGCTGCTAAGCATGCACTTGGGGAGCACAGCAATTTCAGAAAGATTGAGGGGTCGGTGAGGGAAACACTACAAGCCATGCACATGAACAAGACCCATATCTTCACAGTGGTAGTGAAGACAGGCTTGAACATATGACACTTCCTACCCAGCTGAGTCCCACTACTGAGACTCCAACTTTATCAGAGCATATTTTCAAGCAAAACATGCTGGCCGTGTTAAAGCGAAAGTAACAGACACATACTTTAGCCTGGGGGGGGGGGGGGAGACACTTCCTTGCCTTTTTCTGCACCTTTAACTCGGGGTTACTTTTATGTACAGTATGCCAAACCATGGGCTTTTTCTCGTCCGTCTTTTTAAAGGTTATAAACTGTCATTCTGAAGGAGAGACACGCGTCTCCTCTACTCAGTGTAACTTCACCGGTTCGCTTTTTGGACACGAACAGCGAGGGGATAAAAACAAGTTTTCTAAATTTCCCCAGAAATTAATCTTATTGCGGGGGCGGGAGAAAAAAAAGAGGAGGGAATTCCGTCAGAAGGTACAAAAAAAAAAAAAAAAACCCCCCCCCCCACGCTCTCCTTACCCCGCAAATGCAACATTTGGGGGGGGGGAATTATGCAGCCCGTTTTGGGGGGTCCCCATGTCCCCGCACAACCCTTCGGGGGGGGGGAAGCGAGAGAGCGGGGAAGGGGCACGTGGGCCGGGCAAGTGGGCTCTTTTTCAGCCCGGCCAACCCGTTCGAACTTCCCACTCCCGAGACCCGTCGGTGGCAGGCCGCGCGCGCCCGTGCGCGCTGGCGGTGCAACTCAAGCCAAGAAAGAGAAGGGCCGCGCTTCCCTTTGGCTCATCTGCATGCTGGCCCGCTCCGCTTCTCCCATCCAAGGGCTGCTGCGCCATCGAAGGCCCGGCAGCTCCCCCACTAGCAGGGGCGCCTCCGGCTCTGCCCATCCGGTAAAGCAGGGAAGCAAAAGCAAAAAAAAAAAAAAAAAAGAGCCAGCGAGTGAAGTTTGGTGGCTGCACGCCGCATGCCTGCTTTCTCGCTCGCTCTCTCTTCCTCCATCTCCGTCCCGTAGGCTTCCTACCGTTTTTAGAGTCGCCCGAAGCCGAGCCTGTCGCCGCCGCTGCTGCCCCGGAGCTTCCTCCACCTCCTGCAGCCGCCACGGGCCCGCTTGCTCCGACCGCAGCCACGGCGGCCAGGACTCCTCCGGCGCCCGCAGCTCCCGTCGCGGCCAGGGCTCCATTTTCCTGCTCGTCCCCGCTGCTGTTAGCGCGCTTGTTCTTCTTGCCCTTGTTAGTCTTCTGGTTCGGCATCGCCAAGGGAGGAGGAGGAGGAGAGGAGGAGGAGGAGGAGGAGGAGGAGCGGGTCGCAGCGGGAAGGCTGAGGAGGCGGCGGCGGAGGCTCTTGGTGGCAGTGCTGCTGCCTCTGGTTGCTGCTGCTGCTGCTACCCCCGCCGACCCCCGCCTATTGCAGCTCCATTGTCAGGCGGAGCAGCACACTCGTCCTTCGCTCACGCACCGCGGCCCTGTCGCATGCACGCACGCTCACACTCACACACACACACTCACACGCGCGGGCGCGCGTCCACAGACGCCTCGCCGCGGAAGAAATGCAAGCCAGGGAAAAGGCGTGTCTCGCTTGTTTTGATTCTGCTGCTCCCTGGGCAATGCTGGGCTCCCCGCCCGCTTCCTCCTCCACCCACCCCTTCTCTCTCTCTCTCTCTCTCTCTCGCCTGCCAGGCCTTGGCGACAGTGCTAAGCAAAGAGCAAGTGAAAGGAAGGGAGGAGGAAGGCACGGCTCAGAGGCTGGACTTGCGACAGCAGCGAGGAGGCGCTTAAGCCTCGCCTTCGGATTTAAGAAAGCCGCCTTTTCCTTTCCCGGAGCTTGTTGTTTACAACGGCGATTGGATTTCCTCCAAGCCCGGTACGCGGGGATAAAGCAAGGGAAAAGGGAGCTTGGGTAAGAACTCCTAATCCGATTAGCGGCTAATCTCTCAGAGTGGACGTTTCCTTTCTCTCGCCGTGACATAAAGTGAAGCGCGTTGGGTTAGGCCGGAAGGTGAGTGCAGTTCGACCAGATCTCTCTGTACTGTTTATGTGCGAGTGAGAGGCAGGTAGGTTAGGCAGGTAAACGCTGGTCATACGGCATATCTCGATACACAACAAGTTCAGACTAGGAGAATTCCTTTGGAGTTCCACCCCAAAACGTTTGCCAAGGGAAACGGGCCCAGTAAATGAAGGGAAAGACCATGGCGAAAAGATAGAAACCGAAAGAAATGGACTACGTGGAGTAATCCAATGGAGTGTTAATTAAATCACTTTCAAATAGAATGTGCATAGGAGTTTAAGGATTGAAAGTATATTTTCCAATTGATGGATTACTGTATATTGTTAATATGGTTATTATGATTATTATACCATGTGATTGCAGCCTTACTTGAAAATCGATCTTAAATGTGCATCTTATTAACAGTGCCAGATTTCAACCTGCCAATCGCCGTTGTGCCATTTGGTGATGATTTGGCAGCTGTGGGTGGGGTTGGGGAGAAAGTAACCACCAAGCCTGTTTCTTCATGCAAAGAATGGATTAAAATGTTTTTTCACAATAAAGCACAATCTTTACAAGTCCTGACTTGAGTTTGTCCCTTTTGAAAAAGAGCTGCAGGTTTGGCCATGAAATAACAATGTTGTTCCCGGCCTTATTTCTCAATATTATTTCGATATGGCTTTGAAATTTCAGTGGAGATGTAACTTCTTACTGTGTTTAAACTTTTCCAGACATGCAGTGTTGAGTTGTGTTTTATATTTCTTTTTGAAAGAAAACGCCGTAGTTGGATTGGCATTCTTCCAATCCAATATACCTGTACATGTAGTCCTTGACTTACACCAGTCACTTAGAGATAGTTCAAAGTTATGGTGGACTCCAGAAAAAGGTACTTCGGACCGGGGTGAAATTCAACTGGTTCGATATGGTTCGGGTGAACCATTAGCGGCGGCTGCAGGAGGCTCCGCCCACCCACACGGATTTCATGATGTCGCTTTTTTGTGACATTTTAAGCCTCTGTGCGCAGAAGGCTTTGCGCATGTGGATGGCACGAGCGAAGCAAGCGCGCACATGGCGCACACACATTTGCAAACCAGTAGGCAAGGTAAGTGAATTTCACACCTGCTTTAGACCCAGATTCAAAGTTCCAGCAGCCATCTCCCCCACAATAACATGATCCCATTTTGGGCGGTCAAAAACCTGACTCATATTTACGGCATTTGCAGCATCCTGCAATCAGATGTCCATGATTTAAAACATTTTTGCTAGAAACCAGCATTTATTTCCAGTTTTTAACAAAAAAATGCCCCATAGAGACGAATGGGTTCACTAAATGACTGCAACATTCACTTAATAACTGCTGCAAAAAAGCTCATAAAATCAAATATAGTCATGTGATAACCTGCGACTGTAATTGAGAGTTCAGTTAATTATAAATCAAGGATTGCCTGTATAGTAAGCTGATATTTCAGTATTCAGTGAGTGGGTGCAGTTCATCAGCTCTTCTGCCAGCAGCTATGAAGTCTTGAATATCACTTTGCGGTTCAAACTAAAATATCTACAGCCTACCTATCCAAGCCGAGGAGCCAAGTGGCACAGAAGTTAGAATGTAGTACTGCAGGCTACTTCTGCTGACTGACTGCAATTTGGCAGTTCGAATCTCACCAGGCTCAAGGTTGACTCAGCCTTCCATCCTTCCGAGGTCGGTAAAATGAGGACCCAGATTGTTGGGGACAATATGCTGACTCTGTAAACCACTTAGAGAAGGTTGTAAAAGCACTGTGAAGTGGTATATAAGTCTTAAGTGCTATTGCTATCTATCATCTATCTAGCTACTGACGTACCTATGTATTTATCAAGTTTACCTAGCTCCCCCTCTCCCACAAAGAGACTCTGGGTGGTGTACAAAAAAAACAAAAAGAAAAAAATTATGTAGAAGCAGATTAACTAACAAACAAACATAAAGAAAAACATCTCAAAGGGGGAATGCATCAAGATATAACATGTGATGTAACCAAAATATCTATCTGAATGCAGGGCAGCAGCCCACAATGTTGAATAAACCATCTGTTTCTGATGTCTAATTAGAGAATAAGTTTATATAAGAGCTCCAAATCCTGTGTTTATCTGGCTAGTTTTACAAACCTTAATCTTTTGCTTTTCATCAAGCAATTTCAATTCAGACTGGGAGCTTTGTTGTTATTATTTGACAAAGATGGCAGGAAATCGGTTTGCTTTTTTTTATAGTTAATTTAAGATTCATTTATGGATGTACATGGTCAGTTTCAAAGTTTATCAAGAAATATATCCAGTTTATTTCATATCTGTTACTATGGGTAGTCATTGACTTGGAACCATTCATTTAGTGACCATTTGAAATTACAATGGCACTGAAGAAAGAGATTTACAACAGGTTCCATACTTACAACTATCACAGCATCTTGATGACCACGTGAACAAAATTTGGGCGCTTGGCAATTGGCATGTATTTACAATGGTTGCATCATCCTGGGATCATGGGATCACCATTTGCAACCTTCCCAGTTCATTCCCAACCAGCAAAGTCAATAGGGGAAGCCGGATTTGTTTAACAGTTTGTGATTCACTTAATAATTGCAATGATTTGCATGACAATCTTGGCAAAAAAAATTGTAAAATTGGATACGATTCACTTAACACCTTAGTGATGGAAATTCTGGTCTCAATTGTAGTTGTAAGTCAAGGACTGTCTGTATTTTCACACTGCAAGTTCAAGAAAAGTTGCTTGTCAGAAGGGGGAAAGTTCTAGTTGCTCAAGCAATAAATTAAGACCAGAGGATATTTTAGTATGTTGACATATTGTCAGAAGCCTGCCAAAATTCTATACATATTATCATCAACAGGTGCAATCATTTAGAATGCAATAAAAACTCAGCCTCATTAAGTTTTGTGTGATTTATTCCCATATATAAGAATGAAAATTTCACTACAAATATGTGATGTATTTAATCTGGGGTGGCTTTTTCTCTGATAAAAATCATATTTCATGTTAGGAGTCATTAGATTATTCAGTTAATTAACCGATCTCTTAATTAGCTCTATTTCCACAATGGAAGTCATTCCTGATCTGACCTGGGACCATTTCTTTAAGATTTCTTGAGTTATATTCCCAATCTCTTTGCAGTTTCTTGATCTAATTAGTACATATGCAAAGAAAATGTATTTAATATTGAAGATGTATTTAATATTGTGGCAGGTTTAAATTTTTTTACCTATCTTTCTAATTCAACTTTTAAAAAGCTCACTAGTTTGCTTAAAAACTATGAGACATCTGATTAATATTGTAGCTTTTTTGAAAAACACACACAAATATTAAAGTGCTCCATTCTGACAATTCATGTAAGAATCGTATTAAATATTTTTTTGCTAATGCAATTTTCAAGCCTATTATATGTAGTCCTCATTTACCGACCACAACTTGGTTGTTAAGCAAAACACGATCTTACTCCAGCTTCCTTTGCTTTACAGATCTGCAAAGTTGGTAAATGCTAATACTGGTCGTAAAGTTACTTTTTAATTGCTGTCACACCTGGAATGAGCACTGAATGAAGCAGTGAAATAGCTAAACAAGACCAAAGGAAATATTTGCTGCAATGTTTATTGGAATAGGACAGACTTGTGGCCCACAGACTTGTCAAACTTGTGGCCCACAGGCCGGATGCATCACGCACTGGCCACGGCCACCCCCATTTTAGCGAAGGGAAAAAAGGTGTGATACGTCACGTGGTGCCAACATGTCACGAGTTTGACACCCCTGGAATAGGAGAAAACAATAATTTCAAAGGACACGAAAAAAGGAAATGAAAATTTCAAGGCAGACTTTGCCATGCCTATCTGAGAAGAAGCAGAATGGCATTACAATTCATTCAAGCACTGCTTTGTTGCTGTTGTAGGCAATTGATGAAGGGAGCAGTTGTTGAATTTGGTAATCACATTCTCGGACCTCTTAATACAGATATATACATACCATGGGATTGGAAATTAAACTAGATTATCTCTCTGGGCTCCCAACATCTGTATTTCTGTGATTACTGTCTCTCAACCATTAGTCAGAGATAGAGCAGAGAGCTTGAAGAAAAGCCTTATCCCTCAGCCAGGAGAAAAGTACTATTGAGAAACTCTATCCCAGCTTCTAAGGAAGAACATAATAGCAAGAAAAGCAAGGATTGGTCCCCTCTGGTAACCAGAGAGAAAACTGCCTCTCCAATTTTTACTTTGTTATCAAGTAGATTCCATAGAATCACAAAATGAAGGGATTGGAAGGAATCTTGAAAATCTTCTGGTCAAATCCGCTGCCCTGTGCAGATTCTGTGACTCGAGTTTCCCAGACAGAGTTGCCATCCAGCCTTTAAATCTAGATGGAACCAGTGAAGGAAAGGCTATTATCTCCCAAAGCTGTAGACCATGGGTGTCAAACTCAATTGCGTCACATGACATATTGTGACTTTTTTGCCTTTGTGGAGCCGGGATGGGCATGGCCCACGGGCCCCCAGTTTGACACCCCTGCTGTAGACCCATTCCTTGTTTAGTTACCTAGTTCCATTTCCAACAATCATTAAGCAAAATAGTTGCTAAGTTTATACCTGACAGAGAGAGAGATACTGGGAAGATTAGTGGTTCCTAAAATCTCATTCAGATGATGTCTTCCATCAGCTGTTCCAGTATTACTTTCAATCTGAAATGTGTTATGGTCAAGCATACAAACTTAGTTGTAAATTTATGCATTGGTCAGAAAGTGAGGTTTTTATTACAGATGTATTTGCAAATGGTCTCTAAACAAGGAATGGGTGTATTGCAGGGGTGCTATTCAGCTAGTTCTGGCAGGTTCTGGAGAACCGGTAGCGGAAATTATGAGTAGTTCAGAGTATGGCAAATACCTCCTCTGGCTGGCCCCAGAGTGGGGTGGGAATGGAGATTTTGCAATATCCTTCCCCCAGGAGTGGGGTGGGAATGGAGATTTTGCAATATCCTTCCCC